CAATTCTGAGTACGTCTCAGGAAGAAGTGTCCTCCAAACCACAATAAGTCAAACTGAGAAGACTGCCCATCTCTTCCTGTCTCACACAGCCACACTTCAGGTAAAGGCCTGAGAAAGGCAGGCATTTGGGGGGATGTTATTGAATCAGATACACTATAGAGTGTCGGGAGGATGTGACAACTGTCATTTTCATTTTGAGGCATTACCTACCTCTCGTACATCGCCACTGATGTTGGAGAAGGCGCTGCCTTTGAGGAGCATCTGGTGAGAGCAAAGGCCAGGAAATCAGTTGGAAGTGGAGTGTAGCAGCTGGCCTGACGTCAGCTGTGTCCTTTGGTGCCCAGGTGCAGGTGACCCGGGCAGACTCCTTGCAAGTGCAGCTGCTGCCACCAAGGCCTGTGCTGGTGGAGAGGTGGCCGAGAGCTCTTACTTGCAAAAGCCTTTGGGACTGCGTTCCTGGGCTGTGCCCGTGGTGTGAGGTGAGCACACCTGGAGCCTGTGGGTGTGCACAGAACGGGCCACTGGAAAACCCTAGTGGCAGCCACAGGATTACGGAAGTCACCATGGAGCTGGCTCCTGACCGAAATGGCGCCCTTTGCTTTCTGACACAGGACGGGGAGACCGGGGAGCCGGATATCCGCGTTATTTTCTTGCCTCTGCTGGTCATCTGCATTCTTACAAGTCGTTGGTCAAGTTTAATTGCGGATGAAGCCTCTGAGCCTTGTCTGTCTGTTCAGACTATCTGACCTGTGTTTCATCTCAGCCAGACACAGTGAATGCTAACAGTGGCTTCGAAAGTGTTTTCAAACGCAAGCAATTGTTTTGTTCTGCTCCCAGGTCGTGTTCCTGCTCGGCGGCAGGGGCGGGGCCAGACAGCTCGCGGCTGCACAGTTTAAAGGGGGAGCCTTGCCCAAGAAAACACAAAATGAGAAAAGTAAATATTCATTTTGAAGGACAAAAGTAAAGCAAAACATTTACAAATTTCAGGAAGTTGACAAATACTACAGACATCACAAAATCGAAACAACAATTATTAGGTGCTTGTATAGCTTTGGAGAAACGTTTATTCAAATTCTTTGCTCATTTTTAAATTGTATTCCTTATTTTGTCAATGGAGTTATGAGTTTTTTATACAACAGGGTGAGCAAGGGTCAGTTTACAGTCGTAACGCAAATAAGTAGTACAATAATAATACAAGCATTAACTCCATTTGCTTACTCACTACTTTTGCCACCTCTGGGTTCTAAATGCGTGTCAGATACAATGATTTGCAAATATTCTAGTTTGTGGGTTGTATTTCCAATTTCTCGAGGGTTTCTTGAAGAGCAAAAGGTTTTAAATTTGCTGGAGTGGAATTTACCAATTTTTATCTTTTCCTGATTTATGTTTGGGGGTCACAGCTAAAAAATCATTGCTTAATTCAGATCGTAACCATGCAGAAACTTCATTTCTTCAGGATGTCCTTTTGACTCAACCTGGACTCACCCTCCTCCGGCTCCCCAGCACATCCATTCCCTTAATCATTAGTTCCTCTGGATAAGGAGGTGCTGGCATTCTTAGGAGCAAGCCCCGGGTCTGTTGACGACAGGCTTTCTGTCAAATGAGAGTGAGCCTCTAGGCCTCAGTTGTGTTTCTGCTCCAGAAGGACTCCACCTTCTGGAACCAGACAACAATGCCAGGCTGACCCAGGAGCAGATGCAATGCTCAGCCGCCCCTACCCTGGCGCTGACCAATCAGTGGAGAACCTGGCTCCGTCGGTCCCGTTTCCTCGGCCTCCTGAAGCCACTGAGGGGCCAGGTCTCAGCACTCGCTTACCTGGAATCTGCGCTTGACCCCTGTGCCATCAACCAACAAACCCTCACTTTCTTCACTGAAAACGCCTGTTCCCGTTTCATTGGGTTTTGGTGCATGCAGGCAAAGTTTATAAAGGTTTACGCAGGTTTTCTTTCCTAACTGTTTTATAGTTTGGGCTCTTCCCTGCAGGTCTGGGAACCGCCCTGCCTGGTTTCAGGAGCTGTAACCGCCCCCATGGCTAAGGCCGAGTGAGCGACCTTCGGACCCTAAGCCACTAAGGAGACAAAGCTTATCTCCCTGGCAGGAGCACTGCTTCTGCTCCTTTTTCCATAACTGGCCCCCAGTGCTTGATCAGTTAGCCAATGACGGGTAAGATTCCCCAAGGGGGGAACGACCTAAGACAGGCATGATCACGTGGAGGCACCAGGGAAGGACTTGGGGGCTATGGAGAAAGGGGGTGATGGACTCTTGCCCCTTGGCTTTGCCAAAGCCTGAGTCCTCAGTCTGTCTGCGAGAAGTCTCCTAAATTCCTTGGCTATCTTGCCCCCTCTGCCTGACTTAAGCCTGGAACAGTAAGAGGGCAGCCCTGTGCTGGAAAGGGCGGGCTCCCCGGATGATCAGGCCTGAGAAAGGATATGTAAAATCCTGTGAAGCCTGGTTTGCTAAGAATGCTCTTAGTTAAATGATAAAGGCCTGAGCAGGAAATTAGTTTGTTTCCCAAAGTTCTGTAGCCTTTTAGCTGATAGACCTAGACTCAGAAGAAGCCCTAATAGTTCTTTGTATGCTATCTATCGTTCGATCCTTACTCCCTGACAATGATTAATGAGCTGTACCTGTATTCCTGTGCAAATTAAACCCAATAAAAGCCTGTCTAGGCAAGGGTCAGCACGCTCTCCCCTTGAGAGCGTGGCCAAGTCACTCTGAGGCTCTCCCCCCTTGAGGGAGTAGCTGTGCCGTCCCTTTTCCTCCGCAGAACTCGGTAGTCCGAATGAATTTGTCTCGTGTCTCGTCCATGATGCCACAGGCACTGCGGGCCAGCGTCTGCGTCGGGTCTGTGATCAGTGCTGTGTTAATTTTTTAGTATGATGTGAGGTAGGGTCCAAACTCACCTTTTTGAATGGATTTCAAATTATCCCATTTCTTGAAAAGATTCTTTCCTCTTGAATTCTCTTGGTTGCTTTGCTGAAAGTTGATCGACAATGGAAGCAAGGGGTTATTTCCGGGCAGTGAATTCTACTCCCGTGATGGATTCCATCCCATACATGTCTGTCCCTGTGCGGGTCACGCACGGAATTGGTCACAGCAGTAGGTTTTTGCAGCAGGAATTCAGTCCTCCAGCTCCGTTCTTTTTCAACGTTGTTTTTGCTCTGCCGGATCCTTTACCTCCCCATGGGAGTTTAGCATCAGCCTGCCAGTTTTGGCAAAACAGCCATCTGTGATGTTGTCTCTGCAGAGGAATCTGAGGAGGGTGGCCATCGCAGGAATACCGAGTCTTCCGACCGGTGGTCACGGAAGGGCTTTCCACTCACTGAGGTCTGCTTTAAGCCCTCCTGGATGTTTCATGGCTTCTGGTCTTGCACTTATTTTGTTAAATTTACGCCCAAGTATTTTCTTCATTGTAGTATTGCCAGTGAAACACTCTACTTTTGGAGTGTAAGTGTATAGAAATAATGTTGATTTTTGTACATTGATCTTTGATGGACTTAGTTTTAATAGCTTTGCAGGAAATGTTGGGTTTTCTACATATCAGATGATATATTGTACATAGAAATTTTATGTTTTAAACACTTTAACCTTTCTGGCTACTACAAAATTTTTAAATTAGATTTAAATTTATATAATTACTTCTAATTCAAAGTAGTGGTCACTAAAGGACTTTCCATAATAAAGAAATATTACTTTGGGATAAAAACTTATGAAGGGATATGGAAATATGAGTTCAAGAAAAAAAGAAATTATGTGCCATTTCTTATTAAAGAAAAGCTTGTTAATGGAGTAGTTTTAAAAACTGATGATGGATTTCAAATTGCCAGGAATGGCTACGTTTAAGAGTTAGTATTTTTATTTTTAAATGTCAATGTACAATAAAACAGTTTGCATCCTTTGGAACTATGTAAAATCAGACGAAAATCTTCGATCGATCTAGAAAATGAGGGAGAAGTTACACAGTCGGTTTTTCAGAGTTGTTTTAGGAGGTATAAAAGCAAAATCATTGAAAACTTCAGTGTTATTGTATACGTACCTCCCTAACAGATTTTTCTCTTTGGATAATTGTTACCTGAGATCTGTGGAAACTACCAAAAGTCCTTGCTTTTGAATTTAAAAGCCTCCCCCAGTAGTCATCCAACAGTCCAATTCATTATTTTTGATTGGGAGGAATAATAACTCATCTGGAATTAAGTTACCGCCATCTTTAAACAAGTCACTGGGCTAGTTTTCGATGCTCCATCACTGCGTATGTGCACGCAATGTGCTCAGGCAGGTCTGTTCCAGAGTATAAAATCTCGCTTCTACGGAGTTTTACTAATTTTTAAAGGCCTTTTGAAGAAAGGTAGAGTATGTTCACTTTGATTTCTCCCTTACAGCCTTCCTATAATATAATAATCATCAACGCTATTAGCGCAATTGCTATTATTCTTAGCGATGAGGAATATAACGTTTTTCACCGTATTGCTACAGCCTTTTAGCACACACGTCTACCAGTGTACGTGGGCTTCTGGAGTGGGTGTCTCTGGCTGCACAGGTCACAAAGGTCGGGTTCTAGAACACTTGAGAGGCCCAGCCTTTCTTCCCCCGCGTGAACCGAGCCCAGGGCTCCCTCTGGTTATCAGAGCTCTCATCGCCCACCACGCTTGCCTCTGCCCTCCAGCCGCCCAGAGTCCGCGGGCGAACAAGGGAGTGCGCAGGCGCAGGGCCTTTGGACTTGGCCTCCGGGGACTCTGACTGGGGGCGCGCAGCGAGCCCCTTTCTTCTCTTGCTTCTCTTTGGATCTTCGCCCTCTGTCCTTTTCAACCACCAGGGGTTTACGGTGACCCCGGGACTGACGTCTCCCCAAACACCATTTACAGGGTCGCAGTGTACATCTCGGGCTAGGGCGGCAGTGATCAGGCCGTGGGCGTCACGTGTGCGCACCCCCGACGCGGAGCCAGGGCCACGGGCGGGGCGGGGCGGGGCGGGGCGGCCGCGCGACGTGCGCGCTCTGGAGCTCGTGGCTGAGAACGCTCTGTGAGACCGGGCGCGCTGAGGACCTCGGCTGGTGCTGAGGGGGGCGCTGCGCCGTCGCGCCGCACTCGTGGAAGCCGGCCTTTGGGCCGCGGCGACCCGGCGGGGAGCTTTGCGGGCGGTGCGGAAGCGCCCGAAGTCTGACGGGCACAGGTGGGCCGGCGGGCGGCAGGGGGGCCTTCGCCCCTGTGGGGGCCCCCGCGCGCGCGGGCGGGCTGGTGGGTGGCGGTGGCGACCCGTGCTCTGCGGCCTGGCGGACGCGGGACGCGAGTAGGGAAGGCCCGGGGGCCTTTAACCAAAACTTGGAAGTGAACTCCAGTCAAGGGGGGTACTTTCGAAAGTGAATAGTATGGAATTCTTGGTTATCCCCCACCTCCTAGTTGCGAACCGCCGCGCTCCACACCCTCCTCCCCCCATTTACTGTTAGGATGGAGACACGGCCCCTCCCCCCTCGGGTCCTGGGGTCGCGGCCTCCGCGGGCGTCTGCAGCCCCTTCTTGCTGCCGTGACCCCGCTGTTTGCTTCGAAAATCGCGGGGATCTTCACCCTCCCACCGTGCTTGAAGCTTCGGGAAGGTCCGAGTCTTCTGTTTACGAAACGGCCGGCCGAATGCAGCCACGGCGCTGGGAGTGGAGGGCGCGCGGCCTCACTCTTTCGAGCACGTTTGTTCCAGTTCGTTATGGGCGAGTGCCGCGGGGGACTGGCCTCCGACCTGATTTCTGCTTCTGGAACGTGTTTTTCTTGGAATGCGCGGGGCGGGGGACGCGCGGTGTCCGCGCTGCGGCTCGCTGGCCCCGCTGGCCCCGCCCCAGTTGTCGCGGATTGCTTCGCTCCGTCCCGGGAGGACCGGTCCGGGTGGCTTGCTGGTGTTGTAATGGAAAGAATTTGCTTAGAAGATCGTTGCCGCCTCTGAAATAATGGCCTTAAATACGTAAGCAGCAGCAGTTTTTCTTTGAAATTTCCAAAAACAGTACCAAAAAGTAATGGAAGCGTGTCCCCAATAACAAAGAGGTAACAGTCTACTTTTCTAATAACAGACCTCAGCAGGCGACTTCATATGAAACCTGTTTGAAACTGCAAGCTTTGCCTCTTAATTGTGTAGCTTACGGGACCGGCCACAGTGGGTGGGAAGCCCCGGGAGGAAATTAATTTGGAAAGTGCCTGCTCAGTTTTTTTTTTAATTTAAATTTTTAATGAGGGCCGGATAGGGCGTTAGAGCAACTTCTGCTCGCTGTGGGGAGATACGAGCTGCATTATTAAAGACTGCTTCTGATGCCGACCTTTGGAATGGTTTACTGTAGTGTTCACGGGACGGAATTAAGTAGCCAGCTGTTCAGTTCGGAATTTGACTGTCCTCCTGAATCTTTCAAAGCGTGCATAGGCACACGCAGCTGTTTGAAGCACACATTTTACTCCTTTTATTAGATAGTTTAAAAAGTAACTTAAATGCACCACCGGTATCTGGAATCTGGTTTTGATTTGTGGTTTAAGGCCATTATATGCTTGCCTTCTGCCTTCAAGTGCTACCTATGAAGGCTTAATTTAAACCAAATATAAGCCTTCCTACCACGAACACCCCAGGCTTCCTCCAGCCGTCTCTCGTTCTGCTCCCTTGCGGTCAGAGTAAGAGCCTTATCTTTGCAGTTCGACAGCTCATCTCATTTCCTTGTCAAATACTGATGGAGCCTGACTCATCGATCGTCCTCCCCCTGTGCTGGCTCTGCCCCTGGGTGAGCTGCTCAGTATTCGTAAAACGTTTTCTAAACCAGATACAAACTTCCAGGGGTTTGAAAGTTAAATGAAGCTCCGAACAGTGCTGACTGAGTACATCCAAAGAACTTCATGAAAGGTAGTGAGTTAAGGTGCCTTCTAGGGGCCAGAGACTGTGCATTTTACGTTTGCAGCGTACATTAGCAAATGGTGTTACAGCAGTGCTTTAATATGTGTGAACCCCCCGATTTTTTGTGAAACTGTCCCCTTGCACGTCTTTAGGTTGATTTACAGCATTTTACATGATACTTTCAGGTAGTTGCAAAGGATGCATTTCCCCATGTGTTGACATTTATGTGGCATAAAATTGGAACATCACCCTTCACTGTATCCGAAGGAGTGTAGCATTGCAGTTGTATTCCATTGCCAACAATTTTAAACCAGCGTGACATTTTACCTGGTTCCTTTTTCTTGAAGTTGTACTTTGGTTTTTAGCCCCCTGCCCCCCCAAATTACCTTAATGCAATTTATTTATGCTTGAAAGCTTTTCATTTTCTGCTGTACATCTTTTCAATACAAACACTTGTATAAGTTGAAGCTAGGCTTTTTAAAAAGATTTATTTTTATTTTTAGAGAGAGGGAAGGGGAACGAGAAAGACTGAAACATCAATGTGTGGTTGCCTCTCGTGCGTCCCCTTCTGGGGTCCTGTCCTGCATCCCACACATGTGCCCTGACTGGGAATTGAACTGGTGATCCTTTGGTTTACAGGCCAGCACTCAATCCACTGAGCCACACCAGCCAGGACTGAAGCTAGTTTTAAAATTTTCTTATGACTTTAACTCTACAAATTATATTCCTTCTGGATTGAGTTATTAGAAGTGGTAATAGTTGGTCAGAACAGCGTAATGGCCGATGGATTTTGATATAATAATTAACTATGGAAAGAAAGTAAGAGTGTAGTGGGGATTTGTGTTGATGAGCAGGTGGTTGATGTTGCCCAGGGAAAGCTGGCACTGCTGTTGAACAGGAAGAGTTGCTCTCCTTGGTACTGGTGGAGCCGCACACCATCAACCAAATGGCACTGCTCTCGTGTTTTCTTACTACCAGACGGTCACCTGTTTTGTGACCCTTGGCTCTCTCCTACGGATAAGATCGGAGCACTCGAAATCTAGTGGGAGGGACTCGGGTGGAGCATGGCAACCATGGCGTCTTGCAGGAGCCTGAGTTGCCCTGGGGAGAGAAGACGGGTCACTGTCCTCGGGGCTTCCCTCCTGGGGGCCACCAGTGTTCTCGCTGGAGAGGCACCAGCTGCCACTACTCTTAAGAACCAGGCCAGGGAGAGAAGGCTAAGGGTCTCCGTACTCGGCGTGCAGTTTTTCATTCAATCCTCCAGCTTTTGGTATTTACCCATCTCATGCCTGGTAGTCCCCTGTCCAAAGACAGTTTGCTTTTGATTTGAATTAACACATTTGATCATTCTTCAGGGCTGGAGAGAAACAGTGTCCAGGTGCTGGGTGTGGGAGAGGTCCAGGAGTCTTCATTTGTAAATTAGCTCTTAGTCAGTCCTTTATTTCCAGCCCTGCTTCGGCCACCTCTTTGGAGGAGGGTCGAATGCTGCCCATTGGTGCACCGTTGGCAGGTCACATGACGTGCTGTGCCCTGGCCCTTCTCGGATTTCCTCTCTGACAGCTGGGCCCCAGCTGTCTCTGGTCTGGCTAGTGAGTTACCACCTGTCTGTCTGTCTGTTGCCTTTTTGTAGGTCCTCCTCCTCCTCTGTCCTTACATTAAGGGATAACATAAAGTGTATATGGTGCACTCAGATTTATAGCCTAAGCATCTTTCATACATGTAACCACGCTGATCAAGGTAAAGAGCGTTTCCACATACAACACAGTCTCCTCGTTTCCCTGGCAAACCTGTATCCACCTCCTCTGAGCACCGTGTTTATTTTTGTCATTGGACACTGGTGGTGCCTGGGTTGCACCCTCACTTGCACAGTCCTTCACGCATTATGTGGTCTCAGTGTGAGGTCTTCTCTATCTCCCTGCTCTTGCTCCGAGAACTGGAGAGATTCCTGAGTGTGGCAGTGGTCGACTTGCTTACTTATTTTTTAGTTTCTGTGGGTTAGTGCGTTGTATGAATAAATACACCACTCTTGGTCCCTTCTCCTGTGGGTGGGCATCTGAGTTGTTCTGCGTTTTGGGCTTCTGTGGGTAAAGCCGCTGACTGTCGCCATGCCTGTTTTTGGCGCGTGTGTTCACTGATTTCTCTCGGTTGCCTGCTGCTGCGGGGGTTGCTGGGCCGCGGGGTGTGGGCGCGGTGAGCTTTCGTAGGAACCGCCCTCTCTCCCAAAGTGTGTGCGCCTGCGCTGTCCTCCACTTGCGAGAGTAGGGGGAGCGCAGGGCCAGCGTGTCTGCATGGCCGCCTCTCCCGTCGGGCCCTCCGACCTGCAGGTCCTCCTGCTGCTGTGGTTTCAGGTCCATCTCCCCGGGGGGATGGCGTGTTGATTTTCACATGCCAGCTACATATGTTGTTGTGCGAAGTAGCTGCTGATGCCTTTTTCTCGGGAAGAGAATGGCTGTGGTTTCTGTGGGGCAGACTGCACGCCGGTCACCTGCCCCTTTAAGCGGGAGTGAGGTGGCTTGAGGCTTCCTCCAGGTGTTTTTCTCATTTCTCTCATCTCCAGTGTGCGGTTCAAACTCGCTTTTAAGGAGCTGGGCGCGACCTGTGTTTATATCATGAATTTTAGAATGACACCCTTGGTTCCCACCTTATAGGTGTGCTGTAGGAAACTTACTTCTTATTAAGAGACTGGAACAGGGAGGTTACTGAGTAGTTGTATTGTGCCTTACTCTCTTCTGTTTGTAAATTAAAGGGTGTTTAGGACTCAGCAATGTCCACTTACCGCTCAGCTCATGCGCATCGAGCGCCTTTTTGGCGGCAGCCCTAGCGGGGGGCCCGGGGAACTCGGTGCGGAGCAGGGCGAGCGGGGCTGCTGGCCTCCTGCAGCGTGTGCAGGTGGAGAACGTCATGCAGGTAAACCAGTAGTTAAGTAAGATAATGAAAGGTGATTACCTGTCTTACAGAAATGGAGCAGGAGCCGCGAAATGGAGAGCCTGCCGAAATTAAGATCATCAAGGAAGCCTACGAGAAGGCCTTTTTCTTTGTTAACAAAGGGCTGACTACGGACGAGTTAGGTCAGAAGGAAGAAGCCAAGAACCACTATAAGCAAGGAATAGGCCACCTGCTCAGAGGGATCAGCGTGTCCCCCGCCGACCCTGAGCACGCGGGGCCCGGGTGGGAATCCGCGCGGCAGATGCAGCAGAAAATGAAAGAAACGCTGCAGAACGTGCGCACCAGGCTGGAGATTCTCGAGAAGGGCCTTGCCACGTCCCTGCGGAATGACCTGCAGGAGGTGCCGAAGTTGTACCCGGAGTTCCCACCGAAAGACGCATCGGCGGCCAAGTTTGGGGCGGGTGGCTCAGTCCCTGTGGACGCCCCTGCAGTGAATGGAAGCACTTCCGTCGCCGGAGCCGGGGTGCTGCCCGCCCCCACTTCCCTGCGCGCAGCGGCCCAGAGCCAGCCCGCCGAGGCGCCGCCCGCCTACTCACCCCAGGCCGCGGAAGGCCACTACACCGTGTCGTATGGCACCGAGTCGGGGGAGGTCTCCTCCGTCGGAGAGGACTTTTACAGGAATCACTCTCAGCCGCCTCCTCTTGAGACCTTAGGGCTCGATGCAGACGAGCTGATTCTGATACCAAACGGAGTACAGATTTTTTTCGTGAACCCTGCGGGGGAGGTTAGTGCGCCCTCCTACCCTGGGTACCTCCGCATCGTGAGGTTCTTGGATAATTCTCTCGACACAGTCCTGAACCGTCCTCCTGGGTTTCTTCAGGTAAGCCAAGGAAAATGTCGACCTGGTTGGAAATTTGGGTGCAACACATACATCATTCTTGCTTGGTAGTATTTCTAATGTGCCGAAGACAGTAACTGCAAAAAGATTATTTTAAATTCTGTATAAATGTACTCATGAAATCTATGGGCTTTGAATGTACATGTTTGTGTTTGATACTTTGTTTTTTTACCTTCCCTGAGGACATGTTTATTGATTTGAGAGCAAGGGGGGGGGAGGGAGAGAGAAACATCAATTGGTTGCCTCCTGTACACGCCCTGACTGGGGATCGAATCCACCACCTTTTTGGGGTACAGGACAATAAATGCTCCAACCAACGAAGCCACCTGGCCGGGGCGGAGAGTGGGGTTGTGAAGAGGCTGCCAGGAGCCAATTGCGCCGCATGAAAACAGTGGAGTGTAGGAAGCAGCCTGCGGCTTGGGCTGCGGGAGGTGCGGGAAGGAATGCGGTGGGCGTGGTTACGTGAGCCGGGGCATTGATTATCTCCTCCAGGGGCTCTCACCTGCATGTGTTCAGGTGTTTACAGCGTTCTCCAGCGAGGGCGTTACTGTGTGTTGACTGAGAAAACACCTGTATGTTATTAAGAAACCAACACGACTGGCCAAGTATAGGAAGTCAGAGATAAAGTCCAAGCTTCAAACACCACTGCTGGCCTCTTCAGGAAACTAGGAGTTAATCTGGTTTCAAGTAGGCACACTTAGAACGCTGGGGCTTTGAAATCCCACTCTTCTCTTGTTGTAGTTTCACTTTCAGAGCCCATTGAATGCGGGTCCTTCTGTACTGAGCGTGGGCAGGAGAGGCCTGCCCGGTCGTCGGGAGGCTGGGGGCGGAGGGTCCCCGGTGGGCGAGCCTGTGAGTCCACAGTGGTCTGCCCTGCGGAAGGGCTGCCCCGCCCCCGCTTCGCGTGAGGAGATGTGGGGCGCCCCTGCGTCCAGAGAGTCTGGTCAGCGCTGGAGGGGCCACAGTGCAGGGAAAAGGCGGCGCCCACACTCTCCACCTTCAGTCATTCAGGTGTGACTGTGCCACTTCGGTCAAATCCCCACCTGCTGTTGCTTCAGTACTTGTATTTAGATGTCTAGTTTGCTGATTGTATTCTAGACAGTAACAACTATGAAAGTGAGGGAAAGATGTATTTATTTCTGATGCCTATTAAAATGCACAGCTGCTTGAATTTAAGTAGGTCATAGGTCACTTGAAGTCCTTTTACGCAGCACAGACGGTTATGGGTCATTCTTCGGAAAACACGGTCATCCGTTTTATTGTAACTAAGTTCGACGTGGGTGAAAGGTGGACCATGACTTCTGAGAGTAGAAAAACGGAAACCCATCAAAGAAAAAGGCTTTGAGACTGTTTATTATGCACTTCCCAGGAAAGGGCAAGATCGGAGCCCTCCCACCCCCTTCATCCGGATTCTGTGGCTCAGAGGGGATGGCAGAGTCCTAGAATTTTCCATCTCCTCATGTGAAATCTTTGGTGCTCTTCAACTTAGGTGTACCACACGGTATTTCGGTAACAGACTGTTCCAGCACGTGTTTACCGTGAGGAAGAGCAGTGTCCTGGGTGAGGAGCGCAGCTATCTATGTGCAGACCGTGTCTCCACGGAAGTGAAGGCGCCTGGCCGCTCTGATTCACACGCAGTCTCTTCTGAGTTTCCGTCTCTGGGGCGAGAGCCCCAGTCCCACCCTGCGGCCTGCTGACAGTGCGACCTCCGGAGGGCTTAGCAGGGTGGCTTGGTGTCCTTTTGATTTAGCCTCACCGTAGACAGCGTCAGCCGAATGGGGTTGGCCAGCAGGCATTTCCTGTTTGGGGTGCAGTGGAGGAGGACACTGTGCCCTGCAGACAGCAGGGGCTGCATCGCGACCCAGCAGGGGCCCGGTGGAGGGTGAGGGGAGATGACTCACACTGACCCACCTTCCCACCCGCCCATCCTTGACTGGCTTGTTCTCATGCAGATGAGGACTGCACATGCTTTCTGTTGGATTGGACCAGAAAAGCACTGTCCTGAGCGGTCCCAGAGGAGGAGGGTTGATCTCTGATTGGACAGGGGAAGCCTCAGTCCCACTGGCTGAAACAGCATCCCAGGACCTCCTGTAAGAGGGCTGCTCCCCGAATGCAATGTGTGGGGGGCCCCGGGCAGGGATTCGAGCCCAGGGAGCTCCCAGGAGCCCTGCTTGTGGGCGTCCTCGTTGTCAGGGTCCGCACTGGCGGGTGCGTAGACATGCTCAGTGGGGCACTGCGCCCTGCCCGCTTGTCTTGGGTAGTAAGTGCTCAGCATTGCGGTGCTGAGTTCCCACTTCACCACCACACTCACCGACTTGGCCGGCCTGGGAAGATTATATCAGCAAGAACCAAGAACCTGTCGGGCACTTGAAACCAGTTTGACTTGACTCATTTCCACAAAGGGGTGATGTCTGGTGGCGTGGCGGAGAGAGCCTCAACTTGCTTCTGCCGCCATCTGTCCAAGGTGAGATTCATTTCCGGTTAACAGTGGCTCTCCGAGGCCACCGGTTGTAAGGCTCTGTGAACGGTGGTGCAGGCACACTCTTGGCAGAGGTGTTGCGAGTGGTTCGCTGAGCGATCAGGCTGGCGAGTGGCTGGTTTTCGTTGGGCACTTGTGGGTGCCAAGCATTCTGTGTGGCTGGCGAGGTGCCTTCCAACCTTGGACTTGCTCGTTTTCCGGTAGAGCAATTTTAAATCCTCGGTGAAGCCCTGGGCCTGCTCACTGGTTCTTTCCCACCCTTCCAGGTCTGTGACTGGTTGTACCCTCTGGTTCCTGATAGATCCCCCGTCCTCAAGTGCACCGCCGGGGCCTACATGTTTCCCGACACAATGCTGCAAGCGGCCGGGTGCTTCGTGGGCGTCGTCTTGTCTTCGGAACTGCCCGAGGACGACAGAGAGCTCTTCGAGGATCTGCTAAGACAGATGTCCGACCTCCGGCTCCAGGTAACTCGGGTGGGGGCTGCCTTCAGGAGGAAAGCCTGCTTTGACGGAACCCCGGGCAGTTCCCCTCTCGCTCACAGTCTCTGTCACTGCCAATGGCAAACTCCAGACTGGTGTCTGCGAGCGCGCAGGCCAGTGACAGAAGACGGCGGGAAGCGGGGCAGCCTGAGACCTGGAGCGGGTGGGGCGGGTGCGGCCGTCAATGGGCCGATGAGAGCAGGAGTCAGGCAAGGGCTGGAGGGTGACCCGGTGCTGCCGTGAGCTCATCGCCAGGGGGACCCAGTCCTCGCAGGGTGGGCGGAGAGGCTGTCTGTGAAGGCAAGCTCCCCGTGCAGACCACGCGGCCTGGCCTGCCCCCGGGTCACGGGAGGCAGGAGGTGCACACTGCACACTCTTGCAGAGAGTTGCCGGGTCTCAGAGTCCGTGTCGGCTGTACATCTGCTTCTCTGACACGTGTTCACTGTCCTTGGGCCGTGGGCCTGCGCCTGGTGCCCAGGACGCAGAGCTCGTCAGCTGGGGTCTCACCTGCCCCCCCAGATGCGAGCAGTCCCACCGGAAGTGCACATGCACGGCAGGGCCGTCCCGGAGCCATGTGCCAAGTGCAAGGCCAAGGCAGGCACTGGTCGATGAGGATTCCAAGGGCCTGGCCCCGGGCCCGGAGTCACAGGGGGCGACCCGACAGAAGGTGCAGATCTGCAGGGGTGGCAGCCCGCTTCCGCCCCCCCGGACAGACCCGCTGGCCGCGGCGTCACCCTCTGCACATCTGAAACCCTTTCTCAACGTGGAAATGCTTGTTTGTTAGTTGTTTGAAGATACTTTCTCTGTTAGAGAGAGAGGGGACGAGAGGGAGAGAAACACAGGGTGGGCTGTGTCCCTCGCCCGCCCCGACCGGTGACTGCTCCTCCCACCCAGGCCCGTGCCCTGACGGGGGCAGGAGCTGAGCCACCCTGGCCGGGGCTCCAGACTGTCTGTGTCTGTTTCCTTGGCTTCCACGTGCAAGCGAAGGGGTGCAGGGTTTGTCTTTTGGTGACCGACTGCACTTAGCGTGTTACCTCTAGGTCCCTCTGTGAGGTCACAAACGGTGAGGCTTCGTGTTTTCATGGTTCAGTAACATTCCCGCGTGTAGGCGTGCCCTTGTTCTCCGTTTGTCTTCCGATGAGAGCGTGTAGTCCGTTTCCGTTTAAAGCAGTTCCAGGTGGATGCGTGGTTCCTGCTGGTTTACTCCTTTCTGACTGCAGCTCCCTGTTCTGTTCCTGTCCTGCTGTCTTTCCTCCTGTATGTTGACAAGTGTCTGCGGTGCGTGTGGCTTTCTTCACTCTGTGTGTCTCCTGCCGATTTTTGGTTTGTGGTTGCCGTGAGCTTCGTATCCACCGGGCTGCCTGTCCAGCAGTCTCTCCCGTGCGCGGAAGCCACCGAGTTCAGCCGCGTCCTCAGTGAGATGCCCTCTCACGCAGCCCCTCCCCTCCGTGCTCGTTTGTAACTGATTCTGACTCCTGTGTGTGCTTGTCTGTATCCCTTCGGTCCCGTGGGTCGACCCACTGCTTTTGTAATGTGTCAGTGAGAATCTTTTCTTTGTGATATTTTCGTGCTCATTTTTTTAAAGAAGACTTTCTAACATTTCATGTAATGCTGGTTTATGGAGGAAAGCTCCTTCAGCTCTTTCTTGCCTGGGAAGCTCTTTATCTCTAGTTTGATTCTAGACAGTGGCTTTGCTGGGTGGAGTAATCCTGGCTGGAGGTCCCCGCTTTTTGTCACTGTGAATATTTCATGCCACCTGCAGCTCCTGGTCTGAAATGTTCCTGTTGGGAAATCAGCTGACAGTCCTATGGACACCTCCGTAGGTGACTGACTACTTCTCTCTTGCTGCTTTGAAGATTCTGTTTGTCTGTAACCTTCGGTGTTTTGATTGCAGTGTGTCGTGGGGTGGCTTCAGGTGCGTCTCGTGTGGGACTCTGTGCTTCCCGGGCCTCACGCCTGTCTCCTTCAGCAGTTTTTGGTCATTATTTCTTCTGGCACGTTGCCCTCTCTCCCTTCCTCTCCAGCTGCTCCTTCTGCGGCCCGTCTGGTGAAATTGCTCTTGTGTTTGACGTTGTCCCGGAGCCCCTCGACTGTCCCCATTCTTTCCAGTGCTGCTTCCCCTCTGCTGTTCCGGTCGGTCCCCGCCGTGTGTGTCGAATCACTGACCCCTTGGGGCCAGCTCGTCCGCGGCTGACTCCGTCTCACGGGCCCTCCATTCCCGTTCCTGTGCTCCCCGCTTCTCACGGTCCTTTCCACCGTCTCTGTCTCCTCATCGACGCTTCCTGTCCTCTGGTGACGTTGTCGCCGAGGCCCCTGAGCATCCCTGTAGCCCGTGTTTTCGCCTCGGCATCCAGGAGGCGGCCTGTCCCCATTCTGTTCAGTTCTCCTTCTGGAGTTTTGTCCTTCTCTTCCACCCGCAAGCAGCAGGGGGCCCTGTTGCTTTGTCCCCTCGTTTGGGCCCAGTGGTGCAGCCTGCCGTCCCCTGAGTCAGGTGCTGCTGTTGAGCCCCGGTTGCTGTTAGCACGTCAGTGGGGCACATGGACCCTCAGGCTGCCTGGCATGAGCCTGGCCGTGAGGAGTGGCCTCGAGAAGTGGCCGAGACAACAGCGGGGGGTGACCCTGCAGAGCAGGCCTCGCCGCACCTGGCCGCTGGTGCCTGCTGCGCCCACTGCTTGATGTGTTGTTTGTGGTGCTGATGGGCTGGTGCCCTGGTGTGGCCTGAAGCCAGGCCAGCCACCAGGTGTAGGTGTGTTGGTTCTAGGGGCCAGGGACTTGGTCATTGGCAAAATCAGCTGCTCAGCCCAGGGCCACCTGGTGGGAGCCGCCCGGCCCGGCCTGGAGGGGCCTGGGGAAGGCCGTGCTGCAGACCGAGGCTGGGGGCCACCGTCGCTGCTTGTCTGGGTGTGTGGACCTTTGAGAGATTTAGGGAAGCCTGCGGTGCGGGTCCGCTTCTGAGCAGCAGCTGCGGAGGGGCAGGCGGTGCTACCTGGGTCCATAGAGACTCAGGTGTGGTGCCCGCTGTGGGGTGGGGGTCAGCAAAGGAACGGGGCACTGCTGGCACTCGGTCTGCCCCTCCAGCCCTCTCTTCGGAGCCGGACACTTGTGTCCGTGTGTCTTCCCTGTGTATCCCTGGTCTTTCTCAAGCCACTGTCTCCGTGCTGGAGCTCAGGGTGAGGGTGCGGGTGAGTCAGTCTGCAGCCCTTGGGCCCCAGCAGCCCTCCGTGTTGCCTGGAGGGCGTCTGCCCCCGTGTGACGGTCACAGCCAGCTGCCGGGGCTGCCTGTCCTCAGTCGCTGCCCTCCTGCCACTCTCCATGTGGCTTCTTTCTGTGCTCAGGGTCAGGAGTCCTGTCCCTGTCAGGAGTCCAGCCAGGCATCTGGTGGCTCGCAGGGTTGGCAGTCTGTCCTCCAGCTGTGGTTGGATGTGGTCCAGGGCAGAGGCGAGTGCGGGTCCCCCTGCCCCACCACTTGGGCCGGAGGTGCAGCTACAGCGTCAGGCAAGGAGCAGCCACGCGTGAGCGACCCTCCCGCCGCAGCCTGTGATGTCCAAGGGTCGGCTGCAGTTCCCTTCGATTTCGGTGTCGGGCTCGTTCCGTTTCCTCAGAAGTGAAGTGCACTTTGACCCTGTGCCTGGGTTTCAGGGATCGGAGGTCATGGGAGCTGGGCGGCAGCTCAATGAAGGTCGCAGCTGCGTCAGTGTGTGTGAGTGACATGGTGGGGACCACAGTCACGCTGGCGTTTGGTCTCTGTGGAAAGTGCCCACAGCCCGCAGAGGAGGGCGTGTCCGGCGCCCACAGAGAGGGTGCGTGTGGGTGTGAGCCTCGGTCCGCTGGCTGCCCGGGCACTGGCAGAGGAAGGGAGCCCAGCGCTCAGACCTGGGTCCCCGCCCCTCCGCTCCCTGGCTTTCGGAGAGACGTTTGCTGACCCTCAGGTCCGACGCTCACTTCTCCGTTGAGTCTGTTTCTAGGTTGCATGTCGTTTTTCCTTTGCCCCTTGTCCCAACCCCAGCTGTGAACAGAAGGTAGTTACAGCTGTAACTCACTTTTTCACCCTTGAGCATTCACTCAGCAGGTGTGTGCCAAAAGAATACCTTTAGTACTAAGTGCAGAAAAATCAGCAGTTAGCTTTCCAGGAGTGTAGAGTAGTTAAACTGGACTGGAGTTGGGTCGATTGCCTCTAAAGTCATTTATTCTTACATACGTCACTACTCTGAGCCTTTACTCCGTGTCTTTTGGGACTTGGTTTTGGTCACGCGTTATGAACTTAGAAACTCAGACGTTGGAGGCTGGGGGACGAGATTGGACGAAGCGGTGGCATTGACAGTGAGGCCGTCAGACACTGGCGTGGGACCAGGCGTGGGGAGCCCCCCCCCCCCCGGGAGTCGGGTCTGAGCTAAGCCCAGTCCTCTACCCCCTAGGCGAACTGGGACCGGGCGGAGGGAGAGGCCGAGTTCCAGATTCCTGGCCGAGCCAGGGGCCCCGCTGACCCGCAGAAGGACGCCAGCGGCCCCGGTGGGAGACGCAGGGGCCCTTCGTCGGACGGAGGTGGCAAGGAGGTGCGGCCCACAGGGAAACAGGGTACAAAGGTGAGCGCAGCAGCAGAAGATCAGTGTGGGGGGGCGGTAATTGAAGGCGCCCGTGTCGGTGACCGCCAGGGTCTCACCCTGTTGGCTGAGCAGAGAGCCCGCCTCGTGTGGAGTGGCCACTGGCGGACGTGACCAGCAGCCTCCGTTCGTTCGTCCCTCTCCCGGCGCTGGTCACTGTTTTAAAAGGGGCTCCATGTTTTGGGGGGTGGAGCTTTTGCACCTGTTTTAAGATGTGTCTGTTACCTTTGGGTGCACGCATTTGTTTCGTGGTGTCCCCCCAGCCCCGGGCACACTGAGAGTGGGGGCTGGGCAGCCTGTTCTCCAAGTGCGTTTTCGTTCAGTCCCCGTCTCCCCGCGGGCGGTCGCCAGGACCGCGCAGGCCGCTCTGACCAGCAGCGGTTTGCCTGCTCCTCCTTCGTCTGTTAGACTCTGGGCGTGTGGTGTGCTGTGAACAGCGAGTCCGGGCCCCAGTGCCTGTCACTGAGGGCTGGACCCCGAGCGGAGCGGGGGCGCGCGACTTCAGCGCCTGTATCAGGAGGGACTGAGGGTTGGGGAGGGAGGACGGACAGAGGGGTGGAGAGAGTTTCCGTCCAGTGCGGTCATCGGGCGGAGGGGCGCAGGCTGCCTGCGGAGCTGGCTGCGCCTCTGTCTGGCGTCGGCCTGGCCTGGCACCTGCGTGTGGCCGGCGCAGGGCCCTGGGCGCTGGGATGAGTCCCGGCGGGCGGAGAAAGACCGACCGCACGGAGAGCGGGAGCGGTGACGCAGACAGACGTGTAGAGGAAGACCGTGTGTGTGTGTGTGTGTGTGTGTGTGTGTGTGTGAGTCTCGGGGGAGAGCAGGTCGGTCGCTCCTTGTTCTGTGGGGGCGCTCGGCCGTCACCACGGAGGGAGTGAAAATCGGCAAGTGCTCTGCTTCTGCTCGTGAAGTGTCCCTGTGGCTTGCGTCGCACGTCCTGGGCCGGCTTTGTGGGGACATCGGGAGTCCAGAATGGTTCCAAGAAACGTATTTATTACAAAAGTTCTTTTAAGTTAACGCACAAAAATACACCCAAGTTGTGCCGTGGAGAGGAAGCCTGCCTCCGCCCCCGCCCCCGCAGCAGCCGTCTCCTGGCTCCCCTGTCGTTCGCTCCTGCTGTTCGCCCAGGCAGGGCTCACGCGTGTTCAAGTGCGTAGCCATACACGTGCTCATTCTGCATGGCTGCAAATGCACGCACATATGTGAAGAATAACGATACGTGTGCCGGCGTGTGACACATGCTATTTTGCTTCTTGATTTCTACTTCACAGCATATTCGGAAATGTTTCCACGTGAGTTAGAACTTCATTTTTAAAGAAATTAATGTCTTGGTTTAAAAAGTGAAATTACATGTCCTCTCTGGCTGGTGTGGCCCAGTGGATTGAGTGCCTACCTGTGAACCAGGGTCGTGGGTTTGATCCCCAGTCAGGGCACATGCCTGCGTTGTGGGCCAGGTCCCCAGTGGGGGGCGTGTGAGAGGCAGCCACATGTGGACGCTTCTCTCCCTCTCTCTCCCCCTTCCCTCTGTCTAACAATAAATAAATAAATAGTCTTCACACAAGTTGAAAATGAAAGTGCGTAAGAAGGCCCGTGGGTCGGGCCCCTTTCCTGTCCACCCCGCTGCCCCCGCCCCTCGAGGTGGCCACGTGTGGACAGAGCGGCTGCTCTCCTCTCCCCCGGTCGCAGCAGGTCACGCGTCACCTGTTACCTGGATCTGTCGGGTGAGGAGGGGAGGGTCCTTCCCTGTTGGGGAGCAGAGAGCCCCCGTTTTCACAGCCGCCTTGCCCTTCATCGCAGGCGTCCCTCGGTTTCTGTTGTTGGTCCCTCGTCTCAGGCGCGTGGCCCAGTTCCCCGTGTTCCCGTCACACACAGCACCTGGGTCAGCGACGCCGGGGGCTTGGCGTGGACACTCGCTTGTCGGACGAGACGTAGACGTGGGCCGCTGGGATGCCAGGCGCCGGCCAGCAGCGAGGGGGCGGCGGGTCCCCGGAGCCAGCGCCACTCACTGTGCCCTCCGGGGGCTGAGAACCGCAGCGTCTCACTCTGCGTGGACTTTGTCATGAGCGGTGCCTCGCCTTTCCTCTCAGAGCGGGACGTCTGTCTGTCCGTGTGAGCCCTGCCCCCCTTCCCGGTTGAGCTCCGGGTCTGCTCGTCCTCCTTGGGGCTCGCACATTCCAGCGGGTTGGCCTGTGGTCCGCGTCTGTTACGTTGTATGTGGTTTGTACTGAGCGGCTCTCTCGGTTTTGCTCTCGGTGTTTTATAAGTGGAGCTCTGTCCTTCCACGGGGCAGTTGACTTCCCAGTTAGTTTGTGTGACCAGGGCTGGGCTGGCCTGTCCCCGAGTTCCCAGAGAGAGTGAGCTCTGCTGGAGAGGTGGGCGCTGGTCGTGCTGGGGGTCCGCAGGTGCGGGTGTGTCTGTGTCCCCGCCTGCCCCCCCCCCACCTCTGCCAAAGCAGAAAGGCAGGGGGCGTGTCTGTTTGCTTCCACTTGATTTCTGTCGAAACTGGTTCACTGGATGCACCTTCCTCCTTGATGGAGCCCTTTGGCAGAGACACTCGGCCGTGCAGGGTGCCCGGTGTCCTGGGGTGACTGGCTGCCCGCGGGGCTCCCGGTGCAATCCGGGAAGGGAGACGCCAGCGCAGACACGGTGTGGTGGATGCTGCGTGGGAGGCCGTGGGCATGTGAACTTCACTCGCCTGGGGGAGCACTTGGGACTGGACGCTGTCCGCCCAAGGGCACCGTACGGAGGCACACGGCACTCGGTGCCATGAGTGTGCTGGTGGCCGGCGATGTGTCCATCCATTACGTGATGTTTTGTTGCCCAAGGCTCACAGTTTTTCCTCTCTTTAGCACTTCACTGGCTCACATTTTGGCATGTGTTTGCCCTTCAGGCCCCAGGTGCTGCAAGTGAGGAAGTCAGTCTGAGTCACCTGGTGCCCTGCGAGCCCGTCGGCGGGGAGAAGGCCAAGCAGCTGCCGGAGTGGAGCGAGAAGGTGGCGCAGAACATCCTGACGGGTACGCTGGCCTCAGCAGCACGTTCTTCCCGTCGGTGCCGAGCCCTGGGGGCCCGACAGGACTGCGCAGCTCGGCTCCCGGTGACCAGCGTGTCAACACGGAGGCGGAAACTGAAGTGACGGCCCCCGGGGTCGGCCGGGGCGGGCGTCGGGGGTCCCCACGCTCTCATGGGGCCCCGAGCGTGAGACCGCTAGTTTTCCGGGTCCCTCTGAGATCCCCCTCGGTGCTCTGTGGGCCGCCCCCTGCCCAGCAGCGGGGTGCGGGGTGCCCTCCTCTGCGTGGAAGCAGCGTGGCCCTCGTGGCCCACGCAGTGGTGCGAGGATGCGGAGACCCTGGGTCAGGCCGCTGGGCCACGGCCCCTGCGCGATTAGCGTTCGCCGTTAGTGAGGGCTCCGGGGCCAGACCCACCGTCCCCCGTGCATCTGCCCTTGTCTGGGTGATGGACGTCCCAGCTGTTCTGGGGGGCGTGGGCACTCGGGTTCGGGCCCCGCCCGGTCCCTCTTTGGGGAGCCCGCGCTTGTGGGATGGCCAGTGCTGGCTTCCGTCCTGTGGGGGGAGTTCATTAGCGGAGTGGAGGTGTCAGGAGCAGAAGCGTCTTCAACGTGAAAAACCAGCAAGCCACAGCAAGTGAAAAGCACCTGGTGAGCCAGGAGCCAGCAAAATGTTCCACCCACTGACCAAGGGCTGCTTGAGAAGTAGAAAAGATAGCTTTTAAAATATGATTGCAGTGGTTAGAATGGACCCTTGAAAGAGGTTTCCACAGGTGCTGTGATGAAAACCTCTCTCTCACTACCTGGCCCTGGGCGTCGCAGGGCCGAATGGTGTCCGGGCAGTGCCGGCCGTGCCTGTGTCCGCACCTGCCCCCGCACCTGCCCCCGCACCTGCCCGGGAGGGGCTGTCGCCATGCGCCCAGCCACCCCAGGTTCACGGAACAGGACACCTTTATGCTCAGGGGCCCTGCGGCCAGGCACTCGAAGGTCTTCGAGGGGCTGGCCGAGTCTGCTTTTGGAGGGCCAGCCCTCACTGGCCGGGACACACGTCGGCACCCACGTCCGGGGGCTCAGCATCCCGGGCTGCCACAGGGAGCAGCCTCTCTGCCTGGTACCTCCGCCCCGGCGCGGGGGTGTCTGTGAGGGAGCTCTGGGCCTGGACCCAACAGGGCCAGCCCAGCAGACGGGCAGAGGTGGCCTGTCCTCTGTGGCACAGTGGTGGGGACACTGGTACCACTCGTTACCAGTAAGTGACAGGCCCGCCTGGGGTGGAGGGCAGGTGACACAGACCCCACTCCTCAGTGGGAGGCGCGTCGGGTCACACTGAGAGAACAGGTGGCATGAGGGACTCTGTCTTCAGACGTCTCTGGAGAACGTCCCCCGCTGGGACGTGCACGGCCTCCTGGGAGCCGCCAGGGCTGTGTGCCTGGTCCTCCGGGAGCTGGAGCGTCATGGGGCCGACTCCCCCTGGGGGGCTCCTGGAGATCCCAGAAGGGCCTCGGGGCTGCTGACTCCGCCCCCCTGCACCCTAAAGGCCAGACCCCACCCCCCACCCCCTTCGCAGTCCGTGGCGTTGGCCCACCGACCTCCCATCAGAGCGACCGTCTCCTCGGTGCTGTCAGGGTTGGGCGGAGACCACTGGCTCCCCAGGTCCTCCGAGCAGCGGTCACAGGGGAGGGACGCAGAGTGCGGAAGAGGGGCTCCAGGGAGCTGGGCCCGATTGGTCCGGACCGCGGGCACCTGACTACTCAGGCTCTGTGAAGAGGTGCGTGGCCCTGGCCCCGTGTGGTGCCCTGTGCCAGAGCTGCAGGCTGTTGCCCCTGGGCTGCGTGTCCGAGGGCCAGTCCCAGTGCTGGCTGCCCCCTCATTTTCTGATGGAGAAGGCGAGAGGAGGCGCAGTGGCGGCTTCACGTGCGAGTCTCAGCTGGGAGGCCCGGCCTCGCGTGGGAGGGAGGCCGCTGCCCACAGTTCTGCTGCCCACAGTCCCACTGCCGTGGGGTCTGGACGCTACCCTGGGAGGAGGAAGTGGGTCGGTGACCGTGGATGGGGCTGGTTCAGCCCCTCGTGCAGAGTCGCCGGCAGCCTCCTATGGGTAGCATGCACCCCGTCGAGTCTGGGTGTGCACGGCGTGTGCAGGGTGAACGAGTGGGCAGAGTGACCACTGTGCTGCTCAGCCCCCCTGGGCTCCCCTGGGTTCGCTCTTGCTTGTCTTACGGAATCTCGGTCTTGCCTCTTTGAGTCCAGCTGGTTTTCATCTTCTAAAACTTTTCCGTCTGTGACTTGTTGTTTTTTGACTAGACATCTTCGTCGTGGGGGCTCGTGGCTGGACCCACTCGCCTGGCTGGGGGCGGCTGGGGTGTGCAGGGGCTGCAGGTGGACACGCTGACCCAGGAGGGGAGGGGCATCCGCCGTCCCGACAGGTCCCACTGGCCCTCGGCGTTGCCCACGTTCTCGGATCCGCAGTCACGTGAGGCTTGTCTGCGCTGCCCGGACACCCGCTCGCTGCGGGCTGCAGTCTTGTGCAAGGGCCCTGCCCCAGAGCTGGGGAGAGCGAACCTCAGTGTTTCACGTGCGCAGCTTTAAAATCATAACCTGTCCCAGGGGCTGGTGATGCTGGCCTCCCTGTTAGGGGGCCTTTCTCCTCGGGGGCCTTCTGCCATCTCCTTCCTGCTTCTTCCCCACGTGCCCCCCGGGGGCCCTCCCACTGGAGACGCCCACCACCTGCTTTCCTTTTCCTCCTTCGGCTCCTCTTCATTCCTGTGGCCAGAAACCAGGCAAAGCTGGGGGCCAGCCCCCACCCTTGTGGGACTGGGTGCGCCACCTGGGCCCCTCATTGTCCTTCCCCAAGGACGCCCTGTCCCCCAGATGCTCAGTCTCCCCCTCGGTGCTCGTGCTTCTGCCGCGCAGGCTTCTGCTGCCAGCTGAGACGTGGCCAGAGCCAGAGGTCGGGGTTCAGGGTTGAGGGGAGCAGGACACCCACCTCGCGCCCTGAGACTGACACGCGCAGGCACGCACTCCGCCCAGGCGCGTGTGGTGGAGACTCCGGGTGCCGGTCAGCGTCGTCCGTGTCTGCTGCCCTGAAGGACTCCGGGGGGAGCGCAGTGCCCGGCGCAGGGCAGCAGGAGCGGGGCCCGTCTAGCCAGAGGCACTTCACACCCCGCAAGCCCGAATGTGTCCGGAGCGTGGTGGTGTCGAAGCGGAGGTGCCTGCAAGTCAGCAGCGGTGGGGAGGGACACACCGCTCTCTCCTGAGTGACCCCTGTTGTGTTAAAGCTGAAGGTACTCAGGAGACACACGTGTTCCAGGCAGAGACCGTGAGTGCAGAGTGGGCCGGGAAGTTCACAGTGTGTTTGGAATCGGGTGTGTGAACAGTTTGGGTTTCCCCTGCTGATCAGTTAGTTATGAAAGCGTTTAAAGGTAAAATCAGCCTGTGATGTTATGCACTTCGACATTTTCTTCTAACAGGTGCTTCCTGGGTGAGTTGGGGCCTTGTCAAAGGTGCCGAATTTACGGGCAAAGCCATCCAGAAAGGCGCCTCCAAACTGCGGGAGCAGATTCAACCGGAAGAAAAGCCCGTGGAAGTGAGCCCCGCCGTGAGCCGGGGACTCCACATAGCCAAGCAGGCCACGGGCGGAGCGGCCAAAGTCAGCCAGTTCCTGGGTAAAGTACCTCCAGCGACTTGGCTGCTTTTCGGGTAAATGAAAAGCAGCCTCTTAGTTCAGGTTACTCTGAGCGCTCCATTTGCAAGGTGTGACTGTAAGAGTAAAGAATCAGACAAAGCAGCCTCACTGCAGCCCCCAGGAGGCTGCGCAGGCCAGCAGCACCCCCCAGTGGGGAGCCGTGGCTGTGTCTCTGACCCCGTGTGTGTGCGAGGCCCCGAGGGGCCCTGGCTGGCCTGTGAAAGGCGGTGGGGTGACGCTGGAGAGGAGAACGTCCCTTGAGGAGGGAGGTCCCTGCACATGTGTCTGCCGTCCACGGTGTGGCAGGTGCTTTGAAGGGCTGCTGCCTGCCAGGTCGCAGAGGGTCAAGCTCAAGGACACTGGAGCAGAGCTGACAAGTGACTCTGCTTCCGGCCCCTCCCGCCCCTCCCTGGACAGCTCGAAAGCTGAGCGTTTGAAAGTGGCGGACAGCTCCTGACATGGACTGTGTCAGATCATCTTTTTGGTTTTTAGTTTTCTTTTGAATCAGAGTTTGATCTGCTTACTTTTATGCAGATGTAAGTACTTCATGACCATTCCAGTGAGATACCTGGAGGCATGGAGGAAAAACACACGGGTGATGGGTGGTGCTGAGCTGGCAGCCGTGGGGGTGGGTGTGCCGGTCCTTCATTGCAGCGGTCGGATAGAAAAGTGCACACCCGCAAGGCAGGTCAGCAGCGCCCACGGGCTCTGCGGCCACCGTAAACCAGACCGCAGCCCTGGCTCTCGCCCTTGCACGGAGCGGGCAGCCTGCAGCACAGTGGCACAGGCGCGCGTGAGAACGGTGCTGGTTCGGAGCGGGAAGTCGAGGGAGGAGCGCACTGTTGAGTGGCTTGTTTTTGTTTTTCCAATGGCTGTGCTAGTTGACGGAGTTTGCACCGTAGCCTCCTGCGTGGGGAAGGAGCTGGCCCCGCACGTGAAGAAGCACGGGAGCAAGCTGGTTCCGGAGGCGCTCCGAAAGGACCGGGACGGGAAGTCCCCGCTGGATGGGGCCATGGTCGTGGCGGCCAGCAGTGTCCAAGGTAGCGTGGGGGCTGGTGGCCTCACCGCCCAGGCCCGCCGGCCCTGCGCCAGGTGTCCTCACATGACTGCGGTGTGTTTGCAGGGTTCTCGACGGTCTGGCAGGGGCTGGAGTGCGCCGCCAAGTGCATCGTCAAGAACGTGTCCGCGGAGACGGTGCAGACTGTCAGGCACAAGTAAGTGGGACCTGGCTGTCCTGGCAGCGAGACCCCTGCAGCGTGTGGGAGACCCAGGGCGTGTATACTGGCCATCGGGTTATTTTTACTGAGGATCTGATAGCTTGTTTTCACGCACTCTTTTCCTAAGGAGAAAACACTTTTAGCAAATTAATAGAATTACTGTGATTTTTGCCTTTTATTGCTAATTGTTGTAAATGTCTGTTTGTCCTTAATGGGAAAATGGGATTTATTTTTAAAAGCTTGGAGCTTCTGTATACTGCATTAATTGCGTGTTCTGTGTGACGTCACCATTCGGGAGTGCAGTACGATGGCGTCACTTTTCAGCCCTGAGGTGGGAAGAAGTCACCAACTGCCCGTTCCAGGCCAGGCACGGAGGCCCAGGGCTTGTGTAGAGCACGGATTCGGCGTCAGTGCAGAATGCCCAGGGGCAGGTCGCCACGCACCCGGGGAGCCCAGTGGGCCTTGGAGAGAAGGGTGCAGTGTTGCCGTCGGCTGTCACCCCGTGTTCCCGCAGTCCTTCCCTTGGGGACCCTGTGGCTGAGAACAGGCTTGGAGCCTGGCGTTTGGAACAAGGCTTGTCACCCCATTGCAGGAGCTGCAGTGTGTGGTGCCGTGCACCCCCTCTTGGTGCCACCCCAGCCCCCGGGGGCGGGGTGTGGTGGGCTCATTCAGCAGATGTGGTCCCTGCCGGCTCTGCTGTGGGTGCGCAGGCCGGTCAGTGGAGGAAGCGGAGTGTCTCGGTCTGAATGGGCATTTGTTCCAGGGGATGCTGAGCCGCACGCAGGCAGGTGGGGGTCCCGGAAGAGCAGGAGCAGTGGCAGGGCTGATGGAGGCCACGGGGCGGGGCCTGTGCGATGAGGCTGTTGGAATCACTTAGGTCTGGAGGAGGCAGTGGCTGGCTGGCTTGCAGGCAAGCAGTCAGCCGGGGTGAGTGCTGGGTGAGAGAAGGCTCTTCCTGAGTTTCCAGTTGTTCGTGGCGGTGGGACCCGATCTTGGATTTTGCTTTCAGGGATAACGTGCTGATCGCATGACTCGGCAGGACTTCAGAGACCTCGGCATGTGTATGTGCGTTTTCACCGAGCTTGTGCTGACCTTCCCTCCGCAGATACGGACACACCGCGGGAGAAGCCACGCATGACGCAGTGAATTCCGCCATCAACGTGGGCGTGACCGCCTACAACCTGGACAACATCGGCATCAAAGCGATGGTGAAGAAGACCGCCAAGGAGACCGGGCAGACCATCCTGGACGACTACAGAGTGGTCGACCCCTCCGAGGGGGGCGGCCCTGGAGGGGGAGCGCAGGCTAACAGGAAAGGGGGGAAGGACACGCCCAGAGAGGAAGGAGAGGGGAGCCAGGCGGGGAAGAAGGGCCCGTGAAGCGGCCGTGGGAGGAGGCGGCGAGTGCGGGCGCCCTGGGTGCGCCGGGCCCTCCGGTGCCTTTGTTCCCGAGCGGCGCTTTCCTGAGCTTCCAGTCCTGCCGGGCCCACGGGGAGAAGAGTCGGAATCTTTCATGTGGCCTTTAGAAATACGCACTTGTATTCTCATGAGTTTATTTTTTCCTGAACGTGGCTAACGTTTTGCAGTTAAAACGATGCTAATAATAACATGTGCCCTCATTAAACCTAAAATTAAACTATTTTTGTATTTGCTCTCTTTCAGAAAGCAAAGTAGGAAATTATATATTTACATAAAATTTAGCATTTAGTAACTTTAGTTTTACTCATACTGGGAAGGAATGACTTAAAATAGTTTCCTTTTTTTGCACTAATCGTGGAGTTTTTGGGGTGCTTGTCAGGGTTTCCAGTGTGTCACCTAAATAAGAACTATATTCCTAAACTGAAAGAATTCTCAAATAACATTTAAAAGATGTTTTTAAGGCAGGGAACAGACTAATCATGAAAAATAAAACAAAGCTGTATAGAATTATTTAGTAGCTTACCTCTTCATTGGAAATGAGGTATGTGGTCAGTCCTTCTGATTTAAAATGAATAGACAGATGTTTGCGTCTTCTGGGTTTAGAATGGTACTGGTGTAGGAGCAGCCTGGGAAGTTTGGGGGTGTGATTGGTATTAAAAGTTAAAGTGGTTATTAATTAGCTTACTTGGACAAAAAGTGCCGTAAAAAGTCATTTACTGTATCTACTTCTGTAAAGTTTTCCAAAAGGCTAAAATTTTGTGAAAAACAAATATAAACAGTATTAAGTTTATGGGTGGTAAATATATTTTTGTTTTGGAATTTTACATATTAAAAAGCTAATAAATTAAGTTACTGGAAAGAAAAGCTCTCACTGATACATAGTTAACGTAAAGAATGTGAAGGCGTCAGGCTCAGCCTGAGGTGCGCATGCGCCCCGGGCACCGCCAATCTGCAGGCCGGGCCCTCGCAGACCTGTGCACACCAGCACACGCCCGTACACGCCTGTGGCTTCAGGTTTGGTTTGCGGTTTTAAAAGCTTGCTGTTGGTTTTCCCGGTTATCCGTGCTAGTGTGTTTTTGAACCTGTAAGGGCTCCTTAGCTCATTAGAACGCGCGTGACCCAGGCTCAGTGACGCACTTCGTGAACAAGTCGTCTGAGTTTCTTGGCCTCAGATGCGCCCCCGGCCTGCGCAGTGTCTCGGGAACACACAGAACCTGTGCTGGTTAAAGTGGAAAGAAATCTGGGAAGGAGCTCCCAGCCGTTCTCTGCCTTGTTTAAGAAATGCACTGGCAAATGGTGGGGCTGGAAGTCTGCAAAGTAACCTCGGGCAGAGGGCGGGGAGACTGGGCTCGTGGCCAGGTGTCTGGGTGACTTGCACTTCTCTGTGCTCGGCTGCATGTGGCCCATTCAGACTTAAGGGCTGGACCGCGCGTCTCGGTGAGTGTGACGTCTGTGCTGTAGCATTCAACTGCACGTGTGTACTCTGAAGGGGGAAGGGGCCGCACACTCAGCCTGCCCAGCCCGGGGGAGGCCTGCGTGGTGGGACCTGCACTCAGAGACCAGAGCGGCCGCCCGGGGCGGTCTGAGCAGGAAGACCCCTCAGTGAAGGCTTGTCCTGGCGGCGGCCCTGCCCCCGGCTGTCTCTTCCCTGTCGGAGGTCCCCTTCCCCTTCACGGAGCCCCTCCAGGGTCACATCCCGTGGGATTTCAAGAGTGGCCCCTTCTTCCCAGACCCTGGCGGGCACAGGACCCCCACCAGCGCTGTGGGGCCTGAGTGTGCGCTGCCCCCCCTGGGGGACAGCACGCAGCTCCTGTCACTGGTCTGAGAGGTTTCCTGCCTCTGCCTCCCCCTCCGCCCCCGACATCACCCCCTCGGAGGCCGATGGATTAAATGAGCAGTGGGACCACCACTTTCCGGGGTATGTTCTCAGTCTGTTGAGATTTTGCTTCCGGGCAATTGTCAGTTTGGCTCAATAAACTCACATCTGCAGGTCTGGAGTTTCTTACCCCCACCCCCACCCCCACCGCGCGTGCGCACATCCCCCCCCCCACGCACGCACGCACGCACGAGGGCTGGTTTGCTGTGACCCCCGGAGTCTCGGAGGCTGCGCAGAGCGGCACCTGCGGCCTGGGGACGGCAAGGCCTGCGGGTCCGTCCGTCCCAGATGCTGCAGGCCGGAGGCGGTGGGTTTGGGGTTTGTTTCGTTTCGTTTTTTGTTTTAGCGTTTTTGTTTGTTTTTCATTTTTCACCTGAGGTTGGAAGTGTAGTGGCCTGGAAATAGCATCAGCGGTAGAGAGGATTCTCGACCCTCCCGCCCCAGAGGAGCAGGGGACTGTCACAAAGCAGCCAGAGAAAAAGGCATCGGTTCCTGCTGTTTGGTATTCCCAGAGCTTTGGCGTCGGTGCCAGTCACAAAGATGTGCAAGAATATGTGGTCCGTAACTACCGCTCTCCCGCCCCCTCTGTCTTCCCCGGGCCGGGGAGGAGCAGGAAGCCACCAGGGCCGAGATGAGAGGGGGCAGCGCCCTGCTCCCCACGCCCTGCCCCAGGCCGAGCACAGAAGCGGGAACACAGGGTTGGCCTGGACACCGACTCACACACCGACAAGAATTCTTTCGAACGACACTGCCCAGTGACAGGGTGTGTTCTCCGAAAGCCGTGACTGTATTTAGCATTTTACACATCTCTCGGTCCGCAGTAGATCTTCAGTTGCTATTCATTGAACCGATTCCCGAAAATGCTACAAATGATATGGCCTACAAATGTGGGCGGCTTTCAGATATCAAACCCACCGTCAGCCTAATGCGCAGCTCTGTTTATTTTCTCTCCAAACGATTCCAAACCGCTTCCATGCCTAAAAGCCCCCCCACCCCCCAGAGAGACAGATTCCTCAGATTTCCAAGCCCGCCCTTCTATCTTTCAAAACCCACCCTCTGAAACGAAGACTTTCCTTAGCTCCAGCATTTTTCTGGTGAGCCATTCCAGTTTGTTACCTTTTTTTTTTTTGCTGTTGGTTCTAGTATTTTTCCCATACATTATCAGTTTTCCGAAACTGTGTTGGTAAACAAAAATCAGATGAAGTGATCGTGCATCCAATGTGCCTCTTTGAGAGTCTCATTCCATAGGCGTGCGTAGCCAGTACCCACGTGTGACCACTGAGGCCACTTCCCGGGACCCAGACGGGAGCAGGACGCAGTGGGATCATTCCCCAGACGGAGTTCGGAACGGGACACACACCAGGGAAGCAGAGACAACGGGGCACGTCTAGCCTCTTGGAGGTGGGTGGGGCCGGGTGGCACGTACACGTGTGTCAGGACCAGGGGGCAGGTGTGACCGTGACACTTCTCATGGCAGCGGGCCGCTGTGGGTTGTATCTGCACCGTCCCCAGAGCGACCCAAACCCTGAGGACAACCTGGTCTGGAAACAGAGCTGCCCCTGAGATCGAGGTGGCTTGCGGTGTGTTGTCCTCGTGCTGTTTTTAACTGAGTCGTGGTGAACAAAGTATTGTTAATAACAGGGCTGTCGTGTGGCTCTAATGAAGCAACGAACAGAGGAACCAGAAGCCATGCTCTGCGTGAGTATTTTTATATGCAGCTCCTGTGTGATTCTGCCTTTGCCCAGGCGCCTGCAGCGCCTTGAATTACATCCACGGAACAGTAGTGCCAAGCGTGGTATTGCTTTGCGGCAGCCTTAGTAATAATTTATTACAGAGACGTTGAAAGCAGGCATTTCCGAGTATCAAACCTGTTCCTGTATGTACCCCACTTGCCAGGCCCAAATGTCCGTTGATCAGAAAGCCTTCGCTGCTGGCCAGGGACACAGTCTCGTCTTAGTCACTGATAAAATAGTGCCAGTTTCTGCTTACCTCAAGTCCCGGCCTTCGTGTCTTAGCTTCTGGGTGTGGGGTGCGACTTGGACATGCTCACCCAGGTTTTGGCTGTTGTGGCGGAAGAATGGGCAATGATGAGTTGCACACACGCACACACACGCACACACAGGTACCCGGGAGCCCTTAAATTTATAGTGCGTGTGTGACGTTGATTCATTGCACAGACGCTTCCCGTGCCAGCTGCAGGGAGAGGCCCACTGGTTCTGGGAGACAGTGTGGGGCCCAAACTGGAACATGGGAAGCGATGGGGTTCTGACCTGAAGGCAGGAAACTCGGCCGAGCGGACTCCAGCGCGGACGAGGGCAGAAAGACGGCCTTTCCCTGGAGGCGTGTGAGCGCGCCAGCCCGTCTGCAGGCCTCCTCCCCTTGGCCAGGCCGGTGGGGTCTCTACAACCGCAGAGAAGGCTCCAGGGATGACTCCTGTTGGATCCAGAGCAGGCAGAGAAACAGCCTTTTCCTCGGAATTCGTGCTAATTTTTATTTATTACTCAGGAAAAAGCCCAGAAATCATGTAAAAAATCGATAATACTTTATATGAAAATGCCGTGATACGGAGCTGCGTCGCGCAGTTGCACACGGTACCAATAATAACTTGTCCTCAGTTGAGAACATATAATACGCGAATCAACGTGACCCATGTCCTCTGTCACGGAACAGCCCCCGGAGGTAAGATTCAATGCTGTCATTCCCTGTGATCCTTGGACACCAAGCTCACAGACACGGGCTCGCTCTGGGCCACACATCCTGGAGCCGGGCTCCCCCCTCCCACACACCCGCTGCCCACAGCCCTCTGTCCACCCAGCTGCTCAGCCAGGCCAGGCGGGTCGCGGCTCCGGGTGGGACACTAAGCTGACCATGACTTTCACAGGCCGGGAACCAGGCCACCAGGGGAGACTGCTCTCTGAAAACTGCAGCCTTTAGGGACAGAGAGCAAAACCTTGTATTTTTGTTCATGATGGATCGAGGGAGGGGGAAAACGTGTTTGCCCACCTCTCTGTTATTTTCAACCCAGAAATACCCTTATTTCTAATTCGGAAAGTCAGGAAAATAGTATTTGTTTTGCTCTTTTTAAAGGAAAAAGTGGTGTTTTTTTTCCCCTGCCATGGAGTTATATCGCCACCTTGTGGTACTTAGACGTTGCTGCAAGCAGGTTTAAGCTTTGTTCCTTTGGCTGTAGGTAGAATTGTTTTTTTTTAGATGTGAAGTGTATGTATTTTAAGAAGACAATACGAACCACAAGTCTGTCCTTGCATATGGCCTTTCCCCATCCCCCTTCACCAAAGTGGGGTCTGTGCCCTGCCTCACAGCGCTAGTCAGGCCGCCATGCCACCTCCCGAGTGGCAGTGCAGGGGTGGGGGGACACCTTCCGCCCTGAAAAGCATTGGGGGAGAAAGGACACTTTGTCCCCGAACCTGTGCCCCTGGCCTGTGCCCCTGGCCTGCAGCTGTCCGCCACCTGGGGAGTCAGAAATGTTGAGAGCCACCTACGAAACAGCACTCTGGCTGCCTGGTTCTCGGTAACACCCCCCCAGGCCCACTCAAGAAATGGGGCTGCAGCCTCCCAGAGCAGGGGGTTTGGGGGGGACCGGAGTGACCTGGTGGTAGAGCATGTCAATGCACGTGGAAGACGCATTTGATGGCTTCGTACTGAGTTTAGTGCACTGTTAAATGTCAAGGCGATTGGAGTGCGTTGATCCTTTCAACCTCTGTGGTTACAGTCCTTGTGAGAACGCCCTCTGAGCCCCAGCACCTTTGAAAGGGGGGGTGCAGTCAGGCAGTCTCCAGGGTCCCATCGAACTCCGAATGTCTGTGACTCCGAGAACAAGCAGGTTGAACAACACTGCGGGCAGAGCCAAGATACAAGGTTCTTTGAAACACCTGCGTGGAAAGTTGCCAAACATTTCCAGCACAGGTTCTTGATAAGAATTCACTTGAACAGATCATGTGTATCATGTACTATTATGTTATAGAGCTATTCAGGGTATATGAATAGTGTGAAAAATACACAATTCTTTCTTTTTTAATTTTTGGGGAAAATAATGTACAGCATTATAATTTTAGATGATCCACGAACTCTTTTCTAAGAGACTATTAGAATTGTTAATTTCGAGTGCAAGGTTTTAAGTGTACTTCCCTGCGTAGAGTGGTTCTTGTCAAATGTAACAATTCATAATATTCAGGTTTCTGTCAAGAGTGTAAGTAGCATATTTTTACTCTTTCTGGGGCTCAGAAAGGAAATCCATCTGCCCACTTGTCTCTAATACAAATGAAGATGATTCAGGAGTGTCCCAGGTGACAGAGATATGAAACTACTAAGATTCTTCACGTGATTCTTGATGACACTCAGCCACAGAGGGCTTTCTTCTCCTTCCTCCTCCTCCTCTTCCTCTTCTTCCTCCTCCTCCTCTTCCTCTTCTTCCTCCTCTTCCTCCTCCTGCAGCACAGGCGTGGTTGCTCCCAGTCGAGGTGAGAGGCGGGAGCCTGCATGTCTCTGACGACTGGCACCAGACCTGCCCTGAAGCAAACGAGTGCTGGGTGTCCCGGGAAACTCCCAGGAAGCCCCGTTTCCGAATCCACCTCCATCTTGTGTTGATGAGCAGACGCACCGCCGCACGCTATGTGGCTCCCCTCCCTCCGTTCCCGATTACCTGAAAAAGCTACAAATAGCCCCAATCCATATCTATTAAAATGTGCACATTTGCTTCCAAAAATAATGCAGAATGACCTCATCAGAAGCTTATCTGCACTGTGTCTACCCATTGGAGCCGTCCTGAGCCACAAGAATAATTTTGTGTGCTCTCGGGGTGGGAACCAGCCCTCCCCCGCCCCGAACACAGAGCCACCTGCTCAGGAAACGGGGGTTTTGCCCTGAGATGAGGGGTGTGGGTGGTGCGAGTGAGACTGAGAGTCATCCAGGGGCATCCAACCCGTAGCCCAGGATGGCTACGAGGGTGGCCCAACCCCAAATCGTCCATTTACTTACCCCCCCTTTTCTTTTGCTCATTGGTTTTTGTTAGTGTTTGTGTATTTAATGTGCGGCCCAGCGACACCAGAGGGTTGGAACCGCAGGGCCTGACACCCTGGGGACTTCAGCAAAGTGTCTAGTGAAGGCTGAGTCGGGGGGCCTCTTCCTGGCTCACAGTCCCACCTGAGAAATGGGAGCGTTTGGGGGACATTTGCAGAATCACGGGACAGAATGAAATGCTGCTACACGTTTTAATTTCTCAGGCTCCTGGAAAGAATGATCCGGAACAGCAGCTGCCTTCCCGTCTAGGAAGCAGAAGATAGCGCTTTGCTGATTCCTGCTCTTTAAAGGGGGAAAGACTTTAGGGCACCTGGGGCAGCGGCCGTTCTGAGTGGGATGCGTCTCCCAGGGACCCGGCCGGTCCACAGGGTCGGGTCCCCGAGGGTCCTCCGGGAGACCCGGGCAGCCCGGCCCCCACCCCCTGCCCCACAGCGCCCCCAGCCCGCACCGCAGAGCCGCCTGCTCCCCGACGCCCAGGCCGGGCCGCAGGTCACTTTAAGGTCGGCGGGCGCACGCGGCCGCAGGTGCGCGCCCCGAGCCATCAGCGCGTCGGCTGCGGCCCGAGCTCCTGCGCTGAGGCTGCCCGGCACCGGGCACGTGGGCAGCGGGCATGGCCGCCTCAATTAGCGGCCAGGAGCCGGGCCGAGTCTCCGGGCAGGTAAGAGGCAAAGGCGGAGGAGCAGGAAGGGGAGGCAGCTGCGCTTATAACGCCCGTGGGCCTGGGCGGCTCTGGTTCGAGGGACTCGGGCCCGGGGTCCGAGCACGAGCGAGCGAGGCCTGGGCAGGTGCCCGAGGCTGCCCGGCCCTCGGTCCTGGAGCCCCACGCTGGGCCCCTGCCCGCCTTGAGGGGTGGGGGTGGGGGGACCGGACTGAATCCCGCCAAGAAAGAGGCTGCAGGTCCCGGCGGTAAATGAAGGTTCTGGGGGGGGAAGTCCCCTGCCCCCCCACAGAACCTGCCCGACACCTGCCACACGGGACATCCCTTCAGGCAGGATGTTCGCAGTCAGTTACCCAGCAGCAAAAGTTAGGTGTTAGGGCTGGTGGCTGGACAAAAAGTGCCCATTTTGAGCTCGAATTTAGGATCGTGTGTGACGTAGGAAAGTGTGTTTCCAGCCTTCTTGTCCACGCCGGCAGACCTGCCTTCAGCTGCTGCCCGGTGTGGCCCCGCATCACCTTCGGGCCTTGGCCCTTTGGCCCTTTGGCCCCAGGGGCACAACCCAAGCGCAGGTGTGTGTGGAAACTGCCCTCCGTGAAGCCCAGAGGCCTGCGAGCCTCCTGGGAAGCAGCTTATTTCTCGTCCCTGCAGCGGAGGCAGCGACTCGCTTGCCAGGCTGCTGTAGGCAAACACGAAAGGCGGTCGTTAGCCTGGCAGGAAGAGGGACTCGGGGTGTCACCCACCCCAGGGAGCCAGGCGCACCTTGCCCCCTCCTCACTCCGGTCTCCACGGTTACGTGGGAGGCTTCGCTACCTCCTAGAATGTTCCACGCACTTCAGCCCCTCCACTCCTTGGAATAAGCTTTCTGAGCGGAATTCGCACCTTTTGGAAGCGGGCAGGTTTAATGGGTTTTCTTAATTGTGTCAAAGTGGAGGCACCTGTTTGAACCCGAAGGCCAGACAGCGCGGAGCCCAGAGCGAACTCGGGTCCCAGGCGGCTTATCTGGCCGGAGGAACGCGCACAGCTGTGCCCTCCTGCGCCTACAGCAGCCTGAGCCCAGAGGAGCCCTTTGTTTCCCTTCGGAGAGCAGCTCGCTCCCCCGCCCTCTCCGCCCGGGGCCCTGTAAGCCCCTGGACTCCTGGGGACACAGGGAGGGAGGCCCACCGAGGCCCGGGGGGCGCGTCAGCCCCTCCAGCTGCTCCGGCTGCGCCCCGTGATAAGAGTGACATAAATAACAACCCACTAAAATGTGTGGCGATCGGCTGGAAGCAGGTCCGCACCTGCTGTTACTAATTAAGGGCTTAGCCCAGGGGCCGATTGCCAGGGGAAACCCAGTACTTTAGTGTCCTGAGTGCTTGCGATTTCTGAAATCCGAGGGGGTGGACTCGGGGCGTGGGTGGCGTGGGTGACGTGGGTGTCGAATGAGGAAAACCGTCTGAACCAAGGCGCCTGCAGGGTTTCTTCCTGAGTGGTGGGAATTACAGACGGTTTTTATTTTCTCACTCGGTATTCCCGAGTTTTCCAGTTTCCCCAGTGAATGCACACTGCCGTGATGTGTTTACTTTTACTCGCTGCCATTTTGGCAGAGGGACGTTTTCTGCCAAAGGACGCCTCGCATCAGGGCGGCTCTGCTCACAGGCGCAGCCCGCGCAGGTCCTGAAAGGGGGCTTTCCGGAGTGGGGAGCCGCGGGGGGGGGGTTCATTGGCTTTCCCGGTTATTCTCTCCATCTGTGCTCACAGCCCCCCCCCCCCCCAGGTCCCTTTAACTGAACCAGCGGTGGCCTGGGAGCCAGTCGGTTAATTCCAGCCACCAGGGGGCGGGGCCGAGTTCTGGGGGTCCCATCGCTGGCGTCCTACGTGCTCAGGGCACTGACTTTGTAGGGCCGGAGGGACGTCCGTCAGCGCCCCTACCCGCAGCTGCTTCAGTTCCGTGCCCTCTGCTCGGGGGCGAGGCGCCGCGGACTCCGGACCCCACACGGCGGGGGGGGGGGGCTGCTGGGTGGCTGGGCTCCTCTCCTCTGCTTCTGGATGTCTTCCCCCCACCCCAGGACCCCGGCTCTGCTCCACACGACTCGCCACCAGCAGGTTCTGGGGAAGTTGGGGCGGAGGCTCCCAGGTGCGCACCCAGCTCTGAGCACCAGGACGGGTGGGGAACAAGCCAGAGTGGGCCCCCACATCTCTTATTCAAGACCCGCCTGTGCTCCCCAGCAGCCCCCCCCACTCTGCTCCGTGGCTGCAGTGATGCAGAGGGCAGAGTGGATTCAGGCTGTGCCCACTGCCCGAGGGGGACACACTGCCCTGTGTGTTTTCTCGGGTCCCCTTCCCCCCCCAGGCGGCATCTTCTGTGCCGTTTGCTCTTGTGTGGGGCCACTGGGGAAAACAGGGTGACGTCAACCGCCCACATGGCGCTGCACGGACACTGCCCCTTGGGGCCACCTTGCGGTGGGTCGTGGTCCCCAGAGGAGACCCTCAGGAGGGTCTCAGAGCCACGAGGACGTGGCTGAGCCAAGGCGACAGACCCCAGTCTACTGCCCAGAACGCCTCTGACTCTCCCTGCCACGTCAGGGCGAGGACGGGAGCCGCGCTACCGCCCTTGGTGGAACCGAGCCCCTACACTGTTCCCCGTGGTCCTGGGGGCTGCACACCGTGCTCACCCGGCAGAAGTGGAGCCTTCTAGAACGTAGGCTAGAAGCTGAACACCGGCTGGGTGTTCAGCTGGTACTCCCAACACCGAGCGGGGGGGCCCCCGTGAGTGTCCATAGATTTTGGCCACATTTAAGCAGAAGCCGAGTGGCAGGGTCTCTGCGAGGGAAGGAAGATGAGCCTTTCTGACTGAGTGTCATAGCCCAGGACGCCCCGGTTCACACCTGTGTTTTAGGGTGACTAGTAGCAGCACCCCCGTCACCCTCCCAGTGTCTCGGTGTGGCAGGAACACTCAGTGCTCAGCCTGTCTGCCGCAGACAGGGTGCCTCCGTCAACCAGGGTGAGTAAAAGATGGAATGAGCCTCATGCTTCCGTGACCGCGTCCAGTGACCATCCTCAGGGCTCAGTGTTTGGTTCACGAGGAACACGTCCGTCCAGGGAACCCTCTGCCCCACGGCGATTCGCAACATCTGCGCTGAAAGCGTCCTGGCGGCTCCCAGTGCCGCGTGGCTCCCTGAGTCTGCCGGCAATGCGGACGGTTTTCCCAAAGACGAGGAAGCCCTGGAGGCGGCTGCTCCACGCATCGGGGGCCCGATGCTCTTTCTCTTCTGTCAAAACCCCAAATTTCAAAGCTCGTGTGACAGTGTCACACTGTCATCTCAGAACAAGGGATCTCTGAGGGGAGGAGAAGGGGGCAAGGCTGGGGACATGGTGTGCAAGGCCGTCCGAAGGGGTTTGAACTTTTAGCCTGTTTTAAATGGTGGGGGGGGGGACGGGTGGCTGAGATCACTCAGGACAGTGAACGTGTGCACATTGGTGTCTCCGCCCACCGGGCCCCGGGGCAGGACATGTGTGAACACGTGAATACCATGGGGGCAGGGAAGGGAGGAGTATTCCACACTGAAAGCCCAAGGACAGAGAGCAACCAAATGCCATGCATCGCCCTTAACGGGATCTTGGTTTGAACAAAGCAGCTTTTCTGTGAGCACTAAAATCAATACACAAACAAATAAAATAAAATCCACAGGAAAGCCTGAAATTCAGAAAGCAGGTAGGTTCATATCCCCACTAACACAGAAGTACAGATACCACAGCCTATGATGTGTGGGGGAAAGAAGAATGGGAGGTGGAACGATTCCAGGGTGCTGCAGGCGGAAGGCCGGCCGAAACCCAGCTGCAGGGGGCCCGAGGGTGCTCACCTGGCGAGGAGGGAGGGCGGTGGACGCCGAACACCTGGGCAGGTCGGGCCCTGCGGGCTTTTCTTTGGCCCCGGACTCTCCCAGCTCCCCCCTGACACAGCAGGGGCCACGGTGCTCCTACATCAGGGACAAGACCCGGAAACTGCGTGGCCCGGTGTCCCCCATCCACGCATGGGGCGCTTGTTCTCCCTGTACCCACGAGGTCATCCTGGGCTGCTCTGCTTTTTTTTCTTCTCTTTCAGGCAAAAATAGACATTTTGCTAGTTGGAAATGGCGCTGTTCAGCCCCTGGCCGACGCGGTGCAGAAGTTCTTTTCAAATCTAGCGGACGTCACCATCACTGTGGGTGACATGCAGGGGGCAGCGGAGCTCCTTGCTGAGCAGGACTTCCACCTGGTGTTCCTGAGGATGACGTCATCACCGGCCGCTGGGGAGTGGGAAGCGGCCAGGTCCCTTGGGTGAGCTCCCTGCACCTGGGAGGCAGCTTTGCGTGAAGCCTGTTTCCGTAAACAGCCCTAAACGAGGGCGCTGTTTCTGCTCTGATTTCTCGGATGAAGGGCAGCTTCGTGGGCAGGATCTCCAGGCGTGCTGTTTTTATTACCACTTTGACATATTAGGGAAAAAATGATCATTTTCACTTAAAAAGTGATAGGTGTGGGTGAGAGTGTGAGAGTTTGTTGCTCATAGACGTGCCTGTGGTGTAGAATGACGAGCGTCCTCCCAGCGGGTCTCCTTTCTGATAACTGTCCCTGAAGTGCCGTTCTTTCCGGAGTTTGCTCCTCGTTCGGGCAGATATGAGAGCAGGTGGGCGCCGGCGGCCCGGGGCCTGTTGGCCGGGCGGCAGGTGTGTCTCCTCGGCGGCACGTCACCGTGGGAGAGCCCTGCGCTCCCTCGGGGGCCTCGGGTCCAGACACAGCACCTGGTGTTGCTCTTGCATCCTGCAGCTCCCTTGAGGTTCAGCTGCTGCAGGGGCCCCTCTGGCTGGAGAGACCCGGAGGCTGCTCCTGTGAGTTAGGGTCTCCCTTGCCTGCCTTCCTGGGACTCCGAGCCATTCATGATGTTTCAGAAGAGGGTTAGGTCAGAACAAGTTTGCTCATGCTTACAAGAAAACTTGGTAGACGAAGTGTCATTGGAGGTAATACTCGAATACAGAGGGACTTCTCGGAATGATAGGACAGGCCCTTGTGGGCTAAAGGAGAGAGTTCAGAGAGGATGGTGTGTTCGGCCAGACCATTCCGTGAGCAGGAAGGACAGCGGGGAGGAAAAGGAGCCCAAGGCACTGAGTTAAGGTGGTAAGGAGAGAAGGACACTACTCTGTTCTTTTTTGTTTGTTTTTTATTTCTTTTTTAGAGCCGCTGGTCCTCTGCATTTCTTTAGACTTTCTGCTGGGAAGAGGCGCTCTAGGCAAACCAGGCACACTCCCCACGGTGGATTCCACTCCCAAAACACAGTTGGGAGTGGTCCTTCTGAAGACACGCCTATTTTGCCTATTTTGTTACACACCTTTAAAAAAAACCTATCGACAGAGCTCCCCCGGCTGAGGGCTGAAATAATGTCTCATTTATAGAGCATTTAAAAAACCTTGTGTTTGTAACAGCTTCACGAGGGAGGCAGCGCACGGCTTCCCCTCCTCCTGCCGGGTCAGGAAACTGGAGCGGGGGGAGGCGCCCCAGACCACACGGCCCGACCGGCACGCTTCACCTTCCCTTCTCCTCCTTTCCAGGGGTCTGTGATTAGTCGTCTTCTGCAACGGAAGCCCCTTCATTTATACGTGGAGATTCTCGGGTGCTGGCCGTGGTGCAAACCGCACGCACACGCATGGTCTGGGAGGAGCTGGGCGAGCAGCACGGGGGCAGCAGGCCCACCACCCTCCACTGCGGACGGGAGTTGGCTCTGGGGGCTTCACTCTGTGTCCATTTCCTTGCAGGTGCCCTTTGGTGGCGGATGAACTAGTGTCTGCAAATCACTAGTAAAACTCTCACTTTTCTAACTGGAAACAGTTGTTCTAGTGTAGTCAGTAAGTAGCAAAGAGCATTCTTTGTTTTGCACCCAGTAGGCACCCCCCCCCCTCCCCCAGCCTGGCTGCCTTGGGCCGTGGAGAGAGGCATCGTGGGTAACGGTGCTCAAGGAGGCTCCAGCCAAACGGTGACACCGGCTTTGTCCCTTGAGGTTCCAGTGGCTCTGGAGGAAGGAAGTCAGCAGTTCTTTCCAGCTTTGTGGGGACTTATATGACCCTTTGATTAGGCGATAGGTCTCAGAGCTTCTTGGGTGATCGGAGTGCGTGATGGAGCTTGGAAGACTGAATATGACCTTTCCCTTCTCTAGCTGCCAGGGAGGGGCCAGACCTGGGAAGGGGGGCCAGGCGGGGGTGGGGCTGCAGCAATGGCAGCTGCTTCCGGTGCCAGAGGGTCCTGGAGACCGAGACGTCAGTACCCAATGCTGCGTGTGGCTGCGACACAGGAGGGACATTTAAGTGGCGTGTTCTGTGAAACGTGAGCGGAGACAAATGACACATCTTCAGGACCCAGGGCAGTCACAAGATCTGCAACCCAGCAATGCGGTTTTGGTGTGTGGAAGAAGAAGTGGTGTTAGTTGGGGTGTTTCAGGGACATTTATTCATTAGAGAAAGGACATTTTACACAGCTTTTTATTTTTATGTTGGTGATCCTGGAAACCAGAAACTCTGTTGATTGGCAGAGAATGTGAGTGAGTCTCAGAGCAGAGAGCTGGATGCTGGGAGCTCCATGGGTCTGTGGGGTTCTGCCCTGTTGCCAGGAGCGCTTCCCCCACATCTGGGCTGGCAATCGATCCTGTGCCCGTGGCAGAAAGTTTGGGATTTCGGTTCTGTCGGATGTAGAGCTTGAAACTGGAGCGGCATCAGGGCACATAAATCTACATATCCAAATCTAATGTATTTTTCTGATCTCAGTAAATTCAATTTATAACATTTAAAAAATAGATGCAACATTATTTCAAAAAGCAAAATATCTGTTTTTAAAATTTTTCTGATTCTAGTGTATTTTAACTTAGGATAATTTACTTTTTTGTGTGAATCTGAAAAGCACTTTTTATTTCAAAAGTTGGACTAAACTATCCAATATGTTTCTCTCAGTGGTCTTATTTGTTGAGTCTGTTTTCCCTCCACCTCTCTCTCCTCATCCTGTCATGCATTCCTTCATTATACCCCCCATGCTTTGTTGCTTAAAATGTGTATTTGAGCCCTGGCTGGTATGGCTCAGTGGGTTGAGCGCTGACCCGTGAACCAAAGGGTTGCCGGTTCAATTCCCAGTCAGGGCACATGCCTGGGTTGCGAGCTAGGACCCCAGTAGGGGGCGCATGAGAGGCAACCACACATGGATGTTTCTCTCCCTCTCTTTCTCTTCCCTTCACCCGGAATGCACTTTGTGGCGTGTCTGTTTCCCATCTCCCCAGCCCCCACCTTTCAGGTGGCTGGCTCCCGGCCACCGCAGGGGCACTTCTGCTGGGACACCCCCCTGAGGCCGCAGAGCAGGCTGGTGGGCAGGTGCCTGCTCCCTCGGAGCCCGTGGCCGTCCTTCCCAGTACTGGGCACACACGCGGCCCCTCGCTTACTTATCTGCAGTATCCGTTCCGTGTCTGTCGTCCCCAGGAAACCAGAGCAGGGACCTCGTGTGTCAGCCTGTTCACAGGGACACCCAGAGCCCAGCCCAGAGTCCGGCAGGGGCAGCCTGTCAGCACGGTCCGTGTGGCCAGATGTGGACGTTGGTTACAGTGTAACTCGGACTGCAGAGCAATGTGTATTTACCCTCAAACGCCTGCATTCGATTGTGCAGTTGGGGTTCTTCAGGTCTCGTTCGAAGGAAGAAATAACAACTGGTTCTAACCGCGTGCTAATAAACGATGCTTTACGTATGTGGCAGCAGTTTTTCCGAGGCAGTTCTAGCTGTTCTCCTGAAAGTCAGGTGCACAGTGGTACTCTCCTTGGGAAATCAGGAAATCGTTTTCTTTTGGCGAATGTCAGTTTTCGTCACATTACCAGAAATTCCAACGTACCGACTGCTGAAGTGTAGTTAATAATAATGCCACAACTTAAGTTTTATCTTGGGAATTGTCAAGCACAGAGAAGTGGGAAGAACAGTGTAATGAGCTTCCGTGTCCCCGTAATGCAGCTGTAACAGGTCTCATGTCTCCTCTTTCCCACACGCCCTCCCCACCCCATTGGCTCACTGGTGGGTGATTTTAAAGCAAACCTGAGACATCGTTTCCTTTCATCCTTACATACTTTAAGAAATACCTAAGATAAGGAGTCTTACAAATGTCCACGGTACCAGTATCACTAAACATTAATGGCAATTCCTTAATATTGTCAAACATCCACTTGAAATTTCTCTTGTTTATCTTACGATTTTTTTAAACTGTGAGTTTGTACAGATCAGGATTCAATTTTTTTCTTCTTTTTTTCTTTTTGCCTTGCTTTGCATGTATGTGTGTATGTTTCTAAAAGGGTCATTTTTCTCATAGGCTCCTGCATCCGGTGCCAGCTCACTCCATTCTGATAGCATTCTGTAAAATAGTCCACTTTTCCTCAAGTTTTTGTAAACTGGTGGTTAGGTCAAGAATGCAGATAGGATTTAGGCTCTTTTTTTTTTTTTTTTTTTAAATGAGAATAAAAGTGGCCCATCTTACATTCTCCCTGGACCAGCTTTCTCAAAACTGTCAAGATCATTAAATAAAAAAAGTCAGCAAAAGTGCCACAATCCAGAGGAACCTAAGGAGGATGATGACTAACCTTACAGAATCCTGGAGTAGGAAAAAGTCCAATAAGTAAACACTGAGGGCATTCGAATAAAGTATGAGCTTAATGCTAATGTGGCAATGTTGGCTCATTCATCTCGAGAAATAATATAGGAGATAGGGTTTGGGATTGATGGGAATTCCATTGTGGTTTTTTTTGTAAGTATAAAATTATTCTAAAGTTAAAGGTTTATGTCTGTGAAGTCCCTCACTCACCCTTTCCCCAGTCGTGGTTGCCATAGATACGAACCATAGAAAGATGATGCTTATGAACAGCGTGGACTCCTGCTTGGGGAAGCTGCGGGGGGGCACTGACCAAAGGCTCGGGATGGGGGTCTCCTCGCCCACTGAGCTGAAACAGGGAACTTCAAGCATCTCTTGTAAGTAAAGTATGAAACGGAGGGAACACTCCTTTTAGCCAAGTGTCTCGTTCTCCTGTATTTCTGAGACAGTCCGTGATGGTGCCCTGCACCCTGGCCACACACTTCAGACTTGGCCGCGTGCAACTGTGCGACACAGAGATGCATTTCCTTCCTCATACGTTGTTGAAAAGGCGGCCGATCTTGTCCCTCACTGATGTGAGGTGCTATTTTTAGGAGATCTCTCTGTTCACGCCACCGTTTTAAATGCCAAGGAAAGAAAGAAAATTATCCTAGTCCGGTTCCTGACCGGCGGCACTTTAGAATCCCAATTTTCGGAATGATGATTTTGCCTCCCTTTTACCCTTTGTTTTTCTTCTCAGATTCGGCCGGAAGAAAAACACACGTTTTCTGTTTGTTTTTATAATTCCTGAAAATTTTAAAGGTATGTGCCTCCTGGGTCTGTTATTTGTTTTTTCTCCAAACAGAAACCACGGGTCAATATTTAACACAAACGTGCTTAGGCTGTGTTTCAGGGCTCGGGGCGGATGTTGCCATCACTGAGCCCCTGACGACGGAGAAACTCGGCATCGTGGGAAAACACTGGAGGACACATTTCGCACACACGGGTGAGTGAAAAACAAGCTTCCAAAGGTTTGGAAATGTCTCCTCAGAGTACTACAAAAACTATGTAGCTTTTAAAGTTGGTTTTCCACACATGCCTTGTGTTTGCTAAAGATGAACCGTGTGCCATGTCCTGGGAAGAACACACGACCCCCGCCAATCACGGAGAAAACACGTGTGAAGAAAAGACTCAGGTCTCCCGGGACTAGGCGTGTTGCTCAGCACCACTGCGGCCGGGCGGCGGGCGTGGGGCTTGACTCCTGACAGCGAGGTCGTCGCCGTTAGTTCTGACAGCCCAGCCACTGCCATCCATCATTTCCTAGTCTGGCGGTGGCCTCGAGTGATCGACTGAAGCCAGGGCCACTGCCTGAAACCGTTCCCAAAACACACGCGTGCACGTTATTTTCCGCCTGTAAGTTAACGGAGCGGTTCCGCTTTAGACAATGTCGGTGCTTCCACCAGACCACACATTTTTTGAGCTCCTCACTTCCGTTGTATTAATGCAGCATTGTCACCGGCCTCTCACCACTCAAGCTAATTAAATGGGAGGATCTGGCTCATAAATGGCAGACCCCGCTTTCTGGGATTAAATTCTGCTGGAATCATGGTCGGCCAGTGGTGGTTGGTGGTGGTTCTGGGCCTGGGATACTAGCTGGGAAATCTTTTAAAATTAAGACGATACTTTTCTTCAAATGGGCCCGAGAGACCCGCGCAGAGAGTCCCCGTGAGCTCATCCTCAGCTGACCGGGGACGCGACTCGCCCCTGCTTTTTCACTGTCCTTCACGAGCACCCAGGGCCGGGCAGCACATCTGTTCGGTGGCATTGCCGTGGCTCGCTGTCTTCCCGGAATGGCATCTGGGACGACCGCAGCTCTTTCTGCCACTCCGCCCACCCGATTCCCGGCAGAACCCGGGCAGCTGCCTGGCCCACCTGTCCAGCCTCCCTTCCGACGGGTCACAGCCATGCCTGCGTCCGGGTGGCTCCTCTCGGCTCTGAGGATGGGCAGCTGCAGAAACAAAACAAAACTAAAGCAACCAAACCACACACACACACACACACACGCACACACACGCACACAAAACACGATGAAACCCTCGGATGCCAGAGTGGGACCGTCGGGCCGCTTCCTGAAGGGCTCACACACAGTTGCCGCCTCTGCCATTGGCTGTGGATAAGAACTTAGGGAGCAAACCCAGCTGCATGTGCCAGGAGCAAACCGGCCTTTCTGAGTGGCTAGAATCTGGTGGGAAGAGGATGTCCTGGGGCAAACAGTGTGCTGAAATTTAAGTTTGGCTTTCTAACCTGGCTGGTTTCATGGTTCATCACTGATATCCATAATTTTTTTTTTTTTTTAAATTTTAAACACTGCTTTGTGCCCCGGCCGGGTGGCTCTGGGGTCAGAGCGTTGTCTCACAGACCAAACGTTTGCAGGTTTGATCCTGGTGGGGTGCGGACGTGAGGCAACCAATGGATGGTTCTCTCTCACATCAATGTTTTTCTCTCTCTCTCTCCCGCTTCCACTTGCTCTCTTAAAAAAAATCAATAAACCTGTCCTTGGGTGAGGATAAAAAAATACTGCTTTGTAAAATGTGCTGAGTAAAAAGTGACGTCTGCCATCGATGAGGGGTGTGTGTGTGTGTGAGTGTGTGAGATTAGCATCGGGGGTCTCAGTGGTCTGGGCATGACAGCGCCCCCCCCTTTACAATTGCAGTGAAGAGTGAGAATTCCGAGGCGGAGGAAGAGTGCGGGCTGCCCCTGCGAGAGTCCTGCTCTGAACCCCGGGGGCGCTTCTCCACCGACCGATTCGCTTGGTTCGTTTTTGTTTTTTCACTTTCTCAAAATAGCAGTTTTCACCGTATGCATGTTGTTAAAAATTGCACGGGGAACTCACGGGGGAGTGTGAGCTCAGTGCTGGGGGTGAAGCAGAAGAAAGAAGAGGGGTGTCACTTCTGCGAGTCAGAATCCCGAGTGTGGGCTGTGCGCACTCGGCCCGGAGTGTCCAACTCAATGCAAGGGGCCCCCTAGGACGGTCGTGGTGACCTCAGGGGAGCGGGGGAGTCATAAGGTCTGAAGTTCCCCTTACTGGGCACCTGAAAGGGGGTCTGGACTCACCCCTATTGAATTAAATAGCACCAGCGGTGTCCAAACTGTTTCTGAACAGGACAGTCTTTTCTTCAGACAAAAACTTTCCATAAACCCCCATAATTAAGTCGACACGGGCAGCCTCAGGGGGTGTCCACCTACCACTCAGCCTCTCCTGGATGTCCTTCTGAACTCTTTAACCTGTTCCCCCAATTACTGAACCCCCCAAAACAGGGTTGTTTTGTCTCTGGCTCTCTACCTGAGGGCTGTCGGAACCGAACTGGCATCCAAACCTGTGCTCTTCCTTCCAATGCTAGCAGTATAGTAAGCTTCTAAAAACCCAGTTTCCGTGGATTTCTTCCCGTCTCTCGAAGCCGATGGCCTTGGGGGGTTTTAACTAGAGCGCAGGTCCCAGACAACAGACATAGTTGCTGACGACCCGGGTGGCGATGGCCGGAATTCTGAGTCAGTCACTTCCGGAATTTGCAGAATGGGGCCATTGACTATTTTGATTGAGCAAGAGGCTTGGCAGCCAGTAACTGTGGTTAAACCAGAGATGCTCTTGCTTAATTCACGCACGGATATCAATGGCTCTCTTGGTCTTATCGAACATTTTAACCTCAAAGAGACTTACCGCCTCCAACCTCCTCTGGGACGTGCGGTCCGGGAGGTTTTGGAAGGCTTTGGAAGGTTCCGGAATGACTCACAACTGCTTTTTGAGCCTCCCTCATCCGGAATCTTTGCCCTCAGAATCCTACCACTGAAACTACAAGTAAATTTTCCACATCAAGTTATGTCCCTTGGGATTAAGCAGATGATATTAGTTTTTAAGTTTCTTAGGAAACTTAAAAAAATCCAATCAGTCCATCAAAATTCTAGAGAAGCCCTAGAAAAATGATAGAGCCAGGAAGTGTCCATTAACTGACCGATTTCTACGAGGAGGGAAGCTGCCCTCGCTGGTCAGTCTGGGGGGGCCATCTGTGTGGCCTTCCCACCCTCGCCCCGTTCCCCCTGCTCCCCCTGCTCCACCTTGAGCTGCAGGTCTGGAATCCGGGACCGTTGTAATCAGGGGGGTCAGGTGACTCTCTTAATCCTCCTCGCAGCTGCTGTTCTTTATGGGTGTATTTTAGAACATACGATCTTGATAATAGCTCCTTATATTCTGCATGAACTATGTGAGGCTTGATAGTAGCTCCTCATATTCTGCACGAACTCTGTGAGGCAAAGCGTTTGGCCAGGTACTGCACCTGCGTAGGAGGCAAGCGACGTGGAGAATCCCCATCGATGGGTGTGCGGGTGTCTGTTGTTTAACGTGCCCGCCGGTCTTCCCCTTCAGCATCTGGTACGATTTTCCCTTGTTTCCAGTTCTGAGTCTCTAAGAAGTGACATTGGACTGGAATTGAAGGGGCCGCTGTCTGATTTCGAAAGAAGCAAAAGGATTTCTCTTCTTCATTCAAGCAAGGAAAAGCTGAGAAGGTGAATTTCGATACAGCCTTTTTTAGCATTATTCGCTTGTGGGAAGAAATGCTGTCATGAATTTTACGGTCTTTTGTAATGTTGTTAGAAGCCTACAGGAAACCACTTAATCTGATAACTAAGTGCATGCCACTCATTCGGTCATTTAGTCGTTCAACAAACAGCTAGGAGCACCTCCTGTGTGCCAGGATATGATTGGAAAACCGAGGTAAGAAATGAATCCTCCCCTCCCTGTGGTGCTCAGACAGATTTCCAAAGAAGCAGCTATCAAATAAAACACTAGGCTCTCACACCCGTCACGGTGGAGGCGGGAGCACCGTAGGCACCTAGCGCAGGTGCCTCAGACAGAAGGAGGGGTGCGGAGGGCTGTCCCGACCAGATGACAGCCACAGGGAGCGTTAAACCAAAAGCTGCCACTGACTCAGTTCGGACATCAGGGAGGGACTCTTGTGGGGCGGGCAAGGGGTGGTGGTGGGAGAAAGGACAGTGCGTTCGGGCACTGGGAGCATTTTCACGAGTGGGCTGAGGGGCTCACATGGAGACGAGGGAGGGGAGAGGGGGCAGGTCAGGGCTGCGTGTGTCCCATCGGGGACTTTGCAGTCACCTGGGAGGCAGAGAGGACTGGCACGGTCACAGGTGTCCCTCAGGACGCACACGTGTCCCTCCACCAGGACGCCAGAGAGCGAGTGGAGTCTGGTGGCCGGAGCGTCTGTAACAAGACGTGAGGAGACCGTGCACCGTGGTGTGGGGTAGTGAGGAGTGAGCCCATTTTAGGTTCACTGGGCAGGGGCATCAAGGTGAGCAGGGCCGAAGGGGAGGGGTCGGGTGTAACTTCCGAGCAGGTGGCACAGCCGGAGGGCAGCCCCCGTGGGGGGGGGATTTTTGCTTTTGTTGAGTTCGAACTCCTGCACCGTCATTCAGTGGCGCTAGGCACCCAGTAAGGAGTCGGCCCCGACGTTCTAGAGCCAGGACTACGCTGGAAATGAGGCTGGAAATGCAGGTTCTGCGCTCTCGGGGTACAGCATCCGTCTGAAGTGGGGAGGTGGGGCGGCTGTGATTCTGAACAAGACGAGTGGGGACGAGAGCCTCAGGGGACACCGCAGTCGTTGGGGCCCAGGCAGCTGAGAAGAGGTTGGGGAGGGGCACCAGGAAGACAGTAGAAGGGAGAGGGCGGTGCAGGGACCGCGGAGAAGAGGGCGCCCCACGCAGCGGGTGTCCGGGGGCATCGCACGACCCGGCGTCCACTCGGTTGAGAACCGGTAACTCACTGTTCGGAATTGGCAAAACCTGACCGTCACCGGTCGTGGCAAAACCGGTTTTGTTGGCACGGGGTGGGGGAAGACAGAGCATCGCAGGGAGATGGGGAAGAAAGGTGGGGCGAAGATGAGGGTGGACGGCGTGTCAAAGGGGGCTGTGGGTAAAGTGGGGGCTTTCAGGAGGCTGGGCCACACTTGAACAGGTTCGCGTTTGCATCCGAAAGCAAATGGCTGGGAGAGAACAGGTCTTGCAGGTGCCCCTGTTCGGTTATCTGTGGCTACGTGGAAGTATGAAACCAGGGTTTGTTGGCCTGGTGCGTGGTTTTATGGGCTAACAGTTCGAACAGGGCTCACCCAGGCAGCTCTCCTGCCTGCCTGGCATAAATGGGGGTCACCGCTGGCCTCAGCTGGCAGGGCGTCTGGCCAGGAGAGTCCATCCATGGGAGCCTCTCTGGCAGCCGAGGGCCCTCAAGCGGGCGCTCCAGGGGGCAGGGAGAGGAGGCTGCCAGCCCCTGAAGTCCTGGGACCAGAGAGGGGACCGGCGTCCCTTCTGCCTTTGCTATGGGTCCGAGCAGTCACAGAGCCCACCTGGGTCTAGGGGAGGGGTCGAGAGACCCCCTGTCAGTGGGAGGGACATCCAAGAACTTGAGTCCCTACAACCAGTGAGGTTGGGGCAATGATGGAGCTCACACCCCTGAGGAGTCAGAGGCCACGCAGCCAGGGGCAGAAAGCTTCTCTATGGAAAATGCAGGGAAGAGCTAAGAGTAGGTGAGGGTAAGGACGGGTCTTCACGGGGGTCAGAGGGGGGGAAGGTGAGCGAGTTCTGCCAACCGGCCACCACTGTCTGCCGGCGCTTCGTGGGAAGGCGGTGGGTTGCCGGCCTGATGAAGGGGGCCAGAGAGTGGGTTGGTCTGTCCCGAAAGGCCTTGCCCGCACCTCTGCTGCCCTGACCCAGTGATGAAGACCAGGCCTGCCGGCCACTGCTGTCCCGTAGCTCACGGCTCTGCGTGGATGACCATGTCAGCCAGGGTCCGTGACACCTGGTGTTGTGCGTTCGTCAGAACTTACAGAATGGCACCTGAGGATTTGTGTATTTTCTGTAACTTTTACCTAAAAATAGGATGCTGTGAACTCTGCCCAATGATACGTTTAAGGGTTTCGTCGGTAAAGTCTGCAATTACTAGAAATGCTTTGGTGTAATACATAGGGATGGACACAGGGACGGTGAGTGACTTACACGTGATGTGTGAGGGCAGGGATGTTCACTGCAGACCCTGGTGCTGAGCACGTCCGCAGGCCCTATACAGATTCTTAATTCTCTCAACTTTTAATCTTTGTATACGTTTGAACATTTTCCTGATAAATGTCCGGAAAAACTTTAATATGATTTTTCATTATAAAAGTGGCATATGCCTAGTGAAAATATTTGGAAAATATGGAAAATAAAAAGAAATAATATTTTTCCATAGCCCAGTCACCCAGAAATAACTGATACTTGATGATTTTCCTTTTAGTCTTTTTCCTTGTCTAATGGCTGTGGCCATACTTTAAATGTTGTTTGGTATCTTATACTTGGATCCCATGAGAATATCCTCTTTCCCTGTGAGCTTTATAACATATTCCACGGCCAGATAATATTCCGCTGGCGAATACACTGTACCCACGTCAACATCCACTCTGCATGTTCAGATGGTCCTCCGTAGTTACCGACACACTACTGTCATGGACCACGAGAAGTTGGTTGATTCTGGGTTTTAGATCCTCGTGCGTGGAAGCACTGTGTTAAAATGTGGGAACATTTCAAAGCCCTTCCTAAAACATTGTCAAATTATTGGTGTTTCCCCCCCTTTCTTTCCGGAACAGTCCCTGAGGCCCCCCACAGAACCCTCAGAACTGCTCAAAGCCCGTTTGAAGGACCCTGGTCTAGACAGTTTACTTGCTCCCTGCCTATGTCCCAGGATAGATTTTCCACCGAATTTCTCTGCCATTCTGAGGTTTGGAGAGCTGTGGCAACATGGTGACGGTCCCAGCCATCAAGCTGACAGCGCAGAACAGGGTCTTCCTCATGCTTGTGAAATGAACCTTTGGAAAAATGGAGGTGTCGAAGGCTTAGGTGAATGTAGATTTTTACTTCCAATGCACGTCCCTTCAATGGGACAGTGAGTTAGTTTCGTTCCGATTCCAGCCTGGCCGCTCTCCTCTGCACGTGGTCTATTGGTCTGTCAACACCCACCCCTCTGATTTTCCCTGGGCTCAGAGCCCAGCGCGACGTGAAGCCCGAGCTTACAAAAGGCTCGTGCATCTCCTGCTGGGGAGGGGCCCTCGCCGCAGCCTCTGGAATATTCTGACCTCTCTTCGTGTCCAGGCCTCCGGCGGGAATGGCCAAAGGATTTACTGCACAGCGTGTGCGGTGCCCTCTTCTGTGGGAAGAGTGGTCTGCGGGCTTCCGTGGGAGAATGTGTGCAGCGGTCCCGCTTCTAGGGGGAGACATTCCTAGGCCCCTCCAGTGGATGCCTGAAGCCACAAATAGTACCAAGCCCTATATGCACCTGTTCTTCTCTCTGCCTACATAGTCGTGATAAACTAATTTATAAAGTAGGCACAATCAGAGATCAACAATAACTGCTAATAAAACAGAACAATTATAGCAACATACTGTCATACAAGTTACATGCATGTGGCCTCTCGTAAGTGATGGGGGACAACCACTAACTCACTGGTGGGCAGGGGGCGCGCCCAGCGAGGACGCGTGTGACAGAGGGGCCGTCGCCATATTCCCGGCTGGCCAGGCCCAGATGGGGTGAGGCTCTCACATGCTGCTCAGACCAGTGCACGATTTGAAACTCACACGTTGTTTAACCCTGAACCTCCCCACTTAATATTTCTGGCCCATAACTACCCAATTACTACAGGTAGTCGACCCCCTCGGAAAGTAGAACTGCGGAGAAGGGGTCCCCTGTGTCCCCGACATCTGGGCCTGGGCGGTGTGAGCACGCTCTGTCCACGTGGGCGTCCAGGGCTTGAGAAGCTGCCGGTTTTGGGGGACACGGCTGCCCTCCGACAGGGAGACCGGACAGAGAGGGGCAGCTCCTTCACACACAGACCCAGGAGGGAGGCCTGTGTGCGGGGAAGTGGTGGGGCTGAGGGTCCCCCCTTTACGGCCACCCCCACCCCGCAGGGAGCGCATCAAGCACAGCTGTGAACAGCTGCGGGCCCTGGTGCCCAGAGGCAAGGGCAGGAAGAGCGACGCGGCCTCCGTCCTCGAGGCCACGGTGGAGCACGTGAAGCGCGTCCGCGACCGCATCCCTCCAGCCGTCCTGGGCCAGGTACAGACCCCGAGCCCTGGCAGTTCCCCTCCCAGACCAGGCCCAATGCTACAGCTTTCTGTGTTCTGCATGTGTGTTTGTGTGCGTGGGAAATCCCGCCGAACGGAGCCCACCCTCTCTCTTTCAGATTACGGAGGTGCTGCAGAGCAACAGCAGGTTCTGTAGGAGACAAGCGCCCTTCCAGCTCCCGCTCCCCGGCCCGGCCAAGGCGCCAAGGTGTGCTCTGGTCCCCCCGGGCTTCCCCGGTGCCGCTGTGAGCCCTGCGGACGGGCCACACGCGCCCGCCACGGGCACTCAGACATTTGTAGGGCTCAGGGAACCTCCCTGGCCGGGTGGCTCCATGGGTTGGAGCATCTTCCATGCACCCGACGGTGACAGGTTTGATTCCCACACAGCGGATGTGCCCAGGTTTCAGGTTCGATTCCTGATCGGGGTGCATATGGAAGCAACCCATCGACATGTCTCTCTTTCTCTCTCATTGATGTTTGTCTCCCTCCCTCCTTCCCTCCCTCCCTAAGACCAGCAAGCATAGCCTCAGGTGAGAATGAAAAAAGACATCCCGTTGCCGAGGTGCATACTTTCACGACAGGGATAAAGTACACAGTATTCTCCGAGTCCTGATTCCGTCACCATTTGCCTCAATCTCCTTTTGCCACTTCCCAGGACCCTATTGAGGGGGCTTTGCCGGTGGCGGTGGCTGTAACCGGCCATGAGCAGGGACATGGTGGATCCCTTTGTCACGGGAAGTCACAGGCTTTGGAGCTGTGCAGCCTCCTCAGTGCAGAGTCCTTTGGGAAACTGGGTGGCGTCCCAGAGGCACACCTCCCGTTTACGTTTACTGGGACAGGTGGACGGAGGAAGAGGAGAGAGGAAGAGCGCCTCGTCCCTTCGCATCCTGAAGCGTCGTCCTGGGTCCTGTTCCCAGCACAGTCTCACACCCACACAGCCTGTCTTCAGGCTCCGTCTGTGCTTTCATAACTGGAATAATAGAAAGACAATCAGATTCAGCCGTGTTCCTATGGTCTTCCTTGAGAAATGTGTATTTTTTTTCTTTTTTAAAGGGAAAAGAGTGTATTGGCCAGCACACACCCGCCAGTGAGAGAAATCAGTTTCCCGGCTAATAGGTGCTTGAATGTGTGCCCTGCCCCAGCCTCTGGGGGCCCCTCTGATGGCACCGTGAGAGGTGAGCTCTGCCCACCTGTCCCCTGGGGGATTCGGTCTGGGGGGGGTCCTAGATGCCCAGACTGCACACACCCCTGGGCTCCTCTGCACCCGTGATAAAGCATTGTGCGTGATAAGCACACCCGCGGCTCTATTTACTAGAGTGGGACCCAAAGGGAGGGAAGTAGCTGTGATTTTAAAATAGTTTCCTGGCTTCCAGGTGCTGTACAGAGCAGAGAAATATAACAATGTAACCCGCCTCACTGGACGGGGCTTGACCAAACGTCAGCCAGGGCTGGAGGGAGTTCCTTCCGACCTCCTTCCTCCACAGGCAGACCCACAGTTTTGATTCTGACGGAAGCAGTGCACAGGCATGTGCGCGCATGCACACACACACACACACACACACCCCCAACACCAACCAAAGCCATGGGCAGCTGGTGCTTCCCTAACATCTGCCTCTTAGTGACGCAGGGACCCTAATTCATAGTGTGTGTGTTGCGTTAAATGTGGCCATTAGAACATCCTCTGCTTTGCCTACAGCATTCAAGTGCCATGTCTGGGTCAACGTGCGGCCGGGGAAGGACACAGGCACAGGCCACTTCAAGTGCCGCTGCTCAGTGACAGAGCCGCGTGCACTGATGGGCGTGTGTGTCCCTTGTTTTCGAAGGTCTGCCAAGCCCCCACCCAGAGAAGGCTGCTGGCGAGGTGCATCAAGGCCACGCTCCTGGCCCAGTGCTGTCCCTTAGCTCCTTCCACGCCATCAGGTACGGTCCCACAGTTGTCCCCACCTGGGACACGGCTGCCACAGCCAATCAGAGCACATCGGGGCCGCTGCCGGCTCCTGGGCCCAGAGCCTCCACGTGCCCCCCTCCACACTGCAGCTCCGCGCTGGGCCAGGCCTGCGCAGCGCCACCCGCCTGTCTGGTGAGTCCCCTGTGCCCTTGGGTCCCCTTGGCCTCCGTCCCTCCAGCCAGCGCGGCCCCTGACGTGCGCTCGTCTGCGAGTGCTCCGGTCAGAATCCTCTCACATAGTCATCGTGGCTAACGCGTTTTGAGCACTCGGTCACTAAAAGAATGTGTTGGACACTTTACGTCCCTAATGCGATGACCTCCTGACTCTCTGAAACAGTCCTGGGAGGTAGCTACTCTCATCACTTCCGGGTGACACCTCTGAAACGGGACAAATAGTGACCTTGCCAACTCGAGTGTGAGAAAACTAGTCTCGAGAATTACGAAGAAATTTTAACGTGCGACCCACAGGTCGGCAGGTGTAACACCGTGGTAACACCCATCCGCAGAGCCGCGGGAGGGCCAGGGCGCATGGATAAAGAGGGCCACAGCGGCCTTGCTGTCCTGCTGCCACTGGAACTTCGTCTGTAGTTGTTGCTGTAAGACGGACACTGCTTTTACTAACAGTAAATACTACATAGTTTAAAACCCGCAGGTTCAACTCGCCTGAACATTTATTTCACAGGGTTGTGCAGACCTCGTCATTTTGGTTTAGGACACAGGAGACAGGCGCTTGGCATTGAAAGCAGGACAGGCCAGCATGTGGCTTTTTAATTCATGTGGCTTTTTCCCCTTGGCAGCAACCTTTCTGGGCGCATCCGTAGCTCGAGGCTGAGCTCCACTCTCTAGACCCCCTAGTGGGCGAAGTGAGACAGCGCAGGATGAGCAGGCCTGCGGCTACCGCCCCTCACCTGCTACCCAAGGAGTTTGCATCCGGTGGCTTCTGATAAATGAGCCGGGAGCCTCCAGGGAGAGGAGGACGGCTTCCTTCCTCCGCACTTGGGGCTCCGCCGCCCAGGGAGCTGCAAGGACAAGTGACCTCGCCCCGAGATGCTTTCTTCCTCAAAAACCACTGGGCAGTCACTGGGAAAGTGTGTCTGGATGCAGGGAGCTGTCGGGGAGGTGCCCAGGTTCTCCGGTGCCGCCGAGGATGCATGTCGCAGCTTGGTCACTGGTAGTTTTGCTGTGACTTGCCGTCACTCCTTTCTTTTCTTTACTGTTGTTCAAGCACAGTTGTCTTCATCCCCCCACGCTCCCCACCCCAGCCACGTCCCTTACTTCTAGGTGTTTTTCCCCTGGACTTGACGCTTCAGAGAGCTGCCTCTGCTCTTCACCATTCGGACAAGTGACCTTAGTTCCGGAGAGGGGTCAGCCTTCCACTTGGCGACCAATGAGGACGTTGATGTGTGTGTTTTCGCATTTCATAATCCGCCTAATGAAATAATAGCTAATAGGCAAGTAGTCCTTAGAATCTTTGGTTACAGACTAGAAGGTTTTATTTTTTTCATTTTTCATCTCCTCTCTAAAGGTAGGAGAAAAGGCTACTGAAAATAAGGAGAGAAAAAATTTTGTTTTATATTTCCTTGAAATTAAAAAAAAAAAAGATTGACGTTATTATTTTTTTAAAGATTTTATTTATCTTTAAAGGGGAAGGGAAGGAGAGAGGGAGAGAAATATCAATGTACGGTTGCCTCTCATGTGTACCCTACTGGGAACTGGCCTGCAACCCAGGCATGTGCCCTGACTGGGAATCAAACCCCGATCCTTTGGTTTGCAGGCCTGTGCTCAATCCACTGAGCTACACCAGCCAGGGTCCTTGAAATGTTCTTACGCATAATGTGTTTTATAAATAAATATTCAGTTTCATTCCCCCAAATGGTAACTCACTTTTGTTTCATAAATGTGTATTTCCTCTTTTAGCCCTGGGTGCAGGAAATTTTAATTCTACCAGGTTTTTGGAGACGTTTAAAATTTGCTTCAGGGCCTGATTTTCATACACAATTGTACAAGTTCCCTCGGAGGAAGGCTGGACGGGGGAACCTTAGCTGTCTGGCAAACTTGATGAAGACACGAGAAGTTCCCAAGGAGCATTCTGCGTTTGTGGTCACACGTGTGTGCCGACTCTTCACACTCTCCCTGCCTGTAGGGTGATCGCTTCGATGTTGTCCGGGAAGCTGCCGAGGTGTTTTGGGCACACGGTGACTTTTGACACTCGCAGCTTCTCTTATCGCTGCTGGGACTTCTGCTTCCCAGCTGGTTTCCCGAGGTCCCCACGGGGACCATGAGAGACAGCCTGTGTGTGGCTGGGCCGCAGCCCTGGACCCCGTCGGCCAGCTCGTGTGGGCCCCCTCTTCCCTCCCGACACAAAGGGCAGGCCACCGGTTCTGCCGCGAACCTCCGCGTTTTCTTTCCAAGCCGGTTCCCGTGACCCCGAATGCCACGCAGGGTCCAAATTCATTCCTGACACTGCAGTTCCACGTCGAACAAATCCTGCTGCTCCAAGGAAGTTCAACTCCCAGCCGAGGAGGAGAGGGGAGCCGGGCCTGAGCCCACAGAGGAGGAGCAGGGCCCTCTTGTAGGAAACCTGGCTGACTGGTCAGCAGAAGGTGTGAGGAGTTTGCCTAGAAAACAGGACAGCCGGCAGGTTTCACACAGACGGCGCACGGCCCCTGTCCCCGTCGGAACAGGGAGCAGGGCAGACGCAAACAGCCCTCTCTGCTGCCCAGGAAAAGGATTAGACGTTTCCTTGAGGAGAGGGACTTGGCCGCGCCCATGTCTCGGTCCTCAGTGTCAGCTTCTTGCTGGCGGGATGGATGGACACACAGATCCTTGGGTGGACGCCTGGGTGAACAAGGAGCCGAGGGGAGGGAAGGAAGGAAGGGTGCGGGCTCAGGGTACGACAGTGAGTGAGGAAAGCAGCAGGCAGGGCCGGGCACGTGGGCGTCAGCAGAGTGAATGCTGATGTTTTTATTATGCTTATCAATCCATTTACACCTATTTCTTGCCCCGTACAGCAGGGCGGACATGACAGGAGTCAGTAGTGTTTATACCTGGAATGTAGTTTGTCCAGCAGAGACCAGTCCTAGACCACACAGTCGCTCATCAGTGTGAGCCGGTCAGACATCTATCCGACCAGCGCTAGCTGGCCTGCGGGGGTGGGGGGGGGCAGCTGCGGGAGGCAGGTCTTTTTACCTCCCTGTCGGGGAGCCAGAGTGTCCTGAGAGGCAGGCGGAGCGGAAGACCTGTAAGAGAATCTTCTGCGAGTTATGGAAGGGGGGAATGTGAAACGCTACCACGGCACTTTGGAGCGCCGTCCACGCCATTCTAGGAATTCACTCGAGGCTTCGGGGGACGTGACACGCCGGCCTCATCTCTAAAACACCACAGCAGTGACGCGCGCACTGACCTGCAGTGCCCCCGGTGTCATGGATGGGACTTGAGACAGATTCACGTGGACTACCGAGTCCTGTGGAGGAAAAGGGACGGCACGGCTACTCCCTCAAGGGGGGAGAGCCTCCGAATGGCCACCCTCTCAAGGGGAGAGCGCGCTGACTCTTGCCTAGATGGGCTTTTATTGTTTTTTTTTTTCACAGGAGTTCAGGTACGACTTATTAATCATTGTCAGGCAGTAAACAGTAGATAGTATACAAAGAACCATTAGGGCTTCTTCTAAGTCAGGGTCTATCAGTTAAAAGGCTACAGAACTTTGGGAAAATAAACTCATTTTCTGCTCGGGCCTTTAACTAAAGCATTCTTAGCAAAGCAGGCTTCACAGGATTGTTAGGAATTCTTTCTTATGCCAGATTTGCCACCAATCCCACTCTAGCTGGCAAGGGGCTGCACTGCCTTCCCATCACAGGTTTTCAGGCTTAAGTGGATTAGAGCCAGGAAGTGCTTCTCCCAGAGGACATGGGGACTCGGGCTATGTTAGAATAGCCAGGGGGGCAAGGGTCCATCGCTCCCTCTTTGCTGCAGCCCCCTGAGTCCTTCCATGATGGCCTCCCAAGTGATCATGTCTGGCTTAGGCTGCTCCCCCTCTGAGGGGTCTTACCCGTCATGGACTAACTGACCATGCACTGGGGGCAGGGGGATGAAGCATAAGCAGTTTGCTACCAGAGACAAGCTCTGTCTCCTTAGTGGCTCGCATTCTGGAGGTCACTCACTCAGCCTTAGCCATGGGGAGCAGTTACAACTCCTGAAACCAGGCAGAGCAGTTCCTGACATCTCCCCCCCTTTTTTTTTGTTTTTTAAATCAATTGTAGCTGTTAGGCCTGTGAAACCTACTATTTGCTGTTTCTGAATGGGATAACAAGAAAACAACTTCTATATACATCATAAAACACAAATAAAGATTAAGATAAAGAGGAGCCCAAGAGCTGCCAAGACCCAAGCTCCTGAGTTCAGTCCTTTGAAAAATGTTACAAATGCAAGGGAATGACAAGAGTAACAGGTCTGGTTACACTTCTATCTTTGGGAGAATTAGCACAGACTTCAGGAAGTTACTTTAAAGATATGCAGCAAGGGCTTGTGCCTGAACTCAGGGTGAGAGAATTTTAGCAAGAGCAAGTCACAAAGCAGCCTAGGTACAAAGCAGGCCTGATCACCCACGGGAGAGCTTCTTTACGGGGGTGGTCTTGCATGCTGACTTACCCCCCACTGGTTTCCCACATGGGTGTTGAGCTAAGTTTCCACGTCCCAAGAAGCGGTTCCCTACATCTCTCTCCTTGTTTTTAGTTAGGACTGCTATAAGTCCCACAGAGGTTGCTGCTTGCTGTTCTCTTATACGACACTGGGAAAAAATAATCTTCAAATGCATCAATGTACACAAAGCATTATTAGAATCAGTAAGCAATCAGCTGCTCCAAAGACCCACATTCTCAGATTAAGTTCATCAAACCAAGTTTTTTGGTTCAACCAGCCAACATTGTCACTGAGGGTCTGAAAAACCTCCTGCTTGGTTAGGCGTTGAATGTCCTGTAGCTGCCAGTGTAGCTCTAGCTGCAATCTATCAGTTTGTCTCTTTAAGTTGGTAGAAAAAGTCCCTCTTAGGTGATGTTGAATATCACTCCAGGGCTGCTAGCTGGAATTCCACTTCAGGGAGATGACACACAGCTTGGAGAAGTCTGGATCGAGGGAGTCTAATGGGTGGAGGTGGGTCGTGGCCAGGGAAGCCTTTTCTGTGATATGGCTTCACCCTCATCATCGGCAGTTCCAAGGTCATCCTGGAAAGCAAACACAAGCGCACCGTCTTCTCCGAGTTAGGAGT